CACGGCGGCATTATTCAAGATTTTGAGGTTTGTGCAGAAAACATGCCGGCTAGAGAAATGATCCTTATCTTAAGGAGGCATAAAGGAAAGATGGGGGAATAAAACATTCCACTGAGGAGTGTATCCCACCAGAGGATCTTGGACTGACATGAGATGCATATCGACATTGTAAGTCCGCAACCACTTATTTCGTTTGCAGTGTTTGAAAATCTCTGCCCCTATTTCATTTGTTTAAAGGAGAACAAATCAATATCATTCTTTGTTGTTTTTGCAAAATTATCTTTGCAGAGAGAGGAAAAATCACGGTAGTTTTTAAGAATTATTGTTGAGTAGTTTTCCACTGAAGAAATAAAGTATGACAGGAAGTCTGCCACATCGCAAAGCGAGATATGAGGTTGTGGACTTACTTATTAGACGATATGTATTTTTAATTTTCCGCAGAGATTGAGCACCTCTTGCATGACATCAGTGAAGTTAGAGGGGAAAAACGTGGGAAAAAGTTAGGTTCTTATAGATAAATCTAAATATTTCTGCTTGACTCAATTTTATTTAAATCAATGCCAAGCTCTAACAATGTGTAAGAAAAATATAACCAATGATAATAGTTAAACAAAAAAAATTAAATAAAATAATCAGGGAAACAATTCTTTTTCTTTCAAATCAAGATTTTTTGAGTTGCAGAGCTTTAAAAAAAATTCCCTTGACTGCGCAATATTTACATCCTGTACAAACTTTAATACAATTACTTAGAAACTTAAAAACCTCGGTCTAGCAAAAACCTTCTACACTGATTTACATGGTCTCCATGAATTAAAATCTCTTGCTGGACTTCATTCACCTTGATTCCAAGTATCTTTCCAGGATTAACCATTTCCAGCCATGGTTTTAACTCCTTATAGAACGCCCAGATATCACCGTCAACCTTTTTAATTTTTGTCAGTCTCCTCATTCCACGTTCAGATATATCCAAATAAACAGGCATCATGTGAGCCTTGTTGCGGTGAACAAACCAAGTGCATTTTTCTGGGTCAACTGAAAAAAAATGCAAAATGCAATGAGTTCACAATGACACTTCAGGTAAACAAATTGTCGTTTCCCGTACAAAGGAATGTAACTCCATTCCAAGGTTGCAAAATCGACTTTAACGATTCAATTTTTAACAAGAGTAAACATACATAGTTTATGTTGAAAATCTGTCTAATTTTCACATGAGATCAGACAAAACATCAATGAAATCAGTTCAAAATCCCCAAAATTATACCATGAAGAGTGCACTTGGTGCAGGAAAATTTGGCAACATTGAAATGCAGTTACTTCTTTCGTCAGGGAAACTACGAAATAGGTAGAAAAAAAATAAAATATCCTATTTAAAGGCATTATTTCATGAGATACTTAACAGGGAAGCCTTTCTGCTTGTTTACCAGCTAGAGCAAATATTTGATAAAACTAATATTTTAAAAAAAAATCATCGGTACAGAAAAACGCTGTGGTACCGAAACAATAAAAGAAGACCTGCTGATTCTTCAAACACAATTTTGCTTGCTAATTAAGATTTCCAAAGCAGAAGAGTCATTTTTCTACCTGGCTACATGATTATGGTCAAAAATTATGAGGGACATCAATGGAGATCATGTGTGAGGAATTTGCGATCTGACTGTTGATTGAAGAATATGTAAAAGTTCGCGAGAAACACGATGTGGCCACTAGTTTTCTCTGAAATTAACTACCAAGCTAAAAAAAAGCTCTCACATTGAAGCCAAAATGGAGGGGATATCCCAAGATATTCTGAGAGTCAAGCTCTACATCAGAACAAACTCTCCATGCAAAGATAGGGAGCAAATACATTGACAGGGCTGCCACTTTATTTGGGGACTCTTTCGACGCGTTACTCTCGTTTTTCCATTTTCTTCAATCAAAAAACGAATCAAATACAGTTAAATTTTTTAAATTGTTATGGTTGAAATACTTATTTTAATTTAAATATATAGTGCAACAGGGCAAAAAGTGAAAATAATGACGCGTATTCTTAGGTTTGCGGCGATTTCACGGTTGCGACACCCAGGGAAGGGAACGCGGCTGCGTGATCTTCGCAGGTTGACGCGCCTTCAATCCGGCTGGCTGCAACATGCCTACATCCGTGGTCGAATAGTTGTATCATTGCGCCTGTCGTGGATGAACCGAAATACCGACGGATGCGCGCGAATAAGAGCGTATTTATCTCCGATTGTAACGCTGCACACATCTCCTGATGTTTTATTTTTAATCGATGTGTTTTACGAAGCTTTCTGTAATTTTCTGAAGGTTTTCCGGAAATTTTCTGAAATGTTTTAAAAATAAAAATCATAGAAATTTTCGACGCGTTACTCTCGTTTTTCCATTTTCTTCAATCAAAAAACGAATCAAATACAGTTAAATTTTTTGAATTGTTATGGTTGAAATACGTATTTTAATTTAAATATAGTACTACACGGGGCAAAAAGTGTAAATAATGACGCGTATTCTTACGTTTGCGGAGTTATAGCGTTTCGACAGCCAGGGAAAGGAACGCGGCTGCGTGATCTTCGCAGTTTGACGCGCCTTCAATCCGGCTGGCTGCAACATGCCTACATCCATGGTCGAATAGTTGTAAAATTGCGCCTGCGGGTCATTCCATGTCAACTCAACGAGGTTTTGAACCTTGACCTCTCGGATCATGTTCAAACTTGGTGTGCTGCAAGTTCCTGTTGAAAAAAAAAATATTCCCCAAATTTTTCGGTCATTTTTTCGCGCTGTTGATTTTATATGGAATTTCAAAGTTTGGAAGAAATTGACTTTTTTATGACCGATAAAACTTTGAACGGCTGTTACTTTTCAAAGGTTCATCGGAAAAACTTGAACTAAGTAGGTCTTGTTTTGAAGCTTAGAGTTTCTTGGAAAATGCTTTAAGATTATGTAAGGATCACCTACAAAGAAAATCAAAATTTTAAAAAATGCCCTTTTGGAAAAATTAAAATTTGAAAATTCAAAATTTTCCAAAAATTTTCAATTTTTTTTTCAATTTTTTTTTTTTTTTTTTTTTTTTTTAAAGAAGAAGCTCTAAGCTTCAAAACAAGACCTAGTTCAAGTTTTTCCAATGAACCGTTGAAAAGTAACAGCCGTTCAAAGTTTTATCGGTCATAAAAAACTCAATTTTTTCCAAACTTTGAAATTCCATATAAAATCAACGGAGCGACCAAATGGCCTAAAATTTGGGGAATATGTTTATTTCAATAGGAACTTGCAGTACATCAAGTTTGAACATGATCCGAGAGGTCAAGGTTCAAAACCTCGTTGAGTTGACATGGAATGACCCCCCTATCTTTGCATGGAGAGTTTGTTTTGATGTAGAGGTGGACTCTCAGGATAGTGTGGGATATCTCCTCCATTTTAGCCTCAACTTGAGAGCTGTTTTTGAGCTTGGGAGATGATTTCAGAGAAAACCAGTAGCACCATCGTGTTTCTCACGAACTTATACATAAGAATCAACAGTCAAATCGCAAATTCCTCACACATGCAACAACTCCATTCGGTTCTGGATTAATCTCAGTTTAAAAATTCATCGTTATTTCTTTTTCACAAGGATTGTCTAATAAACAAATCATTACCAGTTTGCGGTGTCCATCCTGACGGATAAGAATCTTTTGGTTTCGGTGTAGGAATACGGGGTTTCACAAATAACCTCTCAACGTACTTCCATTCCTCTGGATTTTTTGTAATTTCATAATCTGTATATTTACTGGGATCTCCGACCAGTTTAGATGTGAAGTAGCTTCCATGTCGCAGGAGGTTGAGCTGAAAAAATAATAGCAAAATGGGTGTAAAAAACTTTATCAAGAAATTTCCATGTCATAAAAATTGTGTTATCCGAGTCAGATGCTGAACTGTTTGAGGATGAAATTTCAATTGCCAAAGGGTCAATGTTGGTTAGGCCCATTTAAATTACCTGTGAGGAGGTCACATTGCATAGAGACGGAATAACATTGATTCTTCCGCGACCTTAATCATAACCCATGAAGCCGTCCTGTCAAAGATAGAAAATTAACGCTATAAGGCAATTTAGTTCAATAACACACTTCGTGCTTAGTTTCCAATGCATTTTGTTAGGTGCATCAACTTCTGCATAGTAATATTTCGATTTATTTCTGAGCCTCAAATCATCTGCTACATTTCCTCTAATTGGGCTTGCACTGAATCAGATTCGACGCTCTTAGATACCAGGCAGTCAAATTGGCATTTATTCTGCTAGTTTGTTCCATCACTGATGAGCTCTGTCTTAGGCCAGTGCTCGCGCATCGTATGTTGAGACAAACGTCAATCTCCGATTAACTCTGAACTCGCACCACTCAACAGGTTAATACATGTAGTCAGGTGGCACTACTGGTGAATGGTGACGTAAACAATACTTTGACGTTTGTCTCAACATACAACACGCGAGTTCTAAGTAGGTAACATACATCAATCGAAAAAACTATAAATCCTAAAATGTAAGTATTCCAAACTTTGGGACCTAGGTCTAAGTTGATAGACAGAGTAGAATTGGATGAACTTAGAGGCTGAAGGACAAGTCACGACAAATACATAGTACTGATCTGAACGGGAAAATACTTACTTGCAGGTATTTCAGAGAATTTGAATTCTGTTTAACAGCACAGATCAACCCTCTCACAGGGAGCATGGTGGAAGCGACAGATCTCAGACCAAAACGCGATTGTGAAGGAGATACGTATAACTGGAAATCAATACATTAATTGAGTGCAAATACTGTTATGACAAGCAAGGCTGATAGAAACAAATAAAGTACGAACCGAACATAAAATTCAACGAACGAGAGGGTTTCGGGATTTTGGTTCCAGCAGTTCCAGTGAATTTATTTTTAACCTCAAAAAGTCAAAAATGCGAGCTCGAGAACAACAGAACAACACGAAGAGCAACAGTAACCTCCCTTGAATGCAGCGGCGCTCACCGATCAACGTGGCGGGAAATTCAAAATAACACGAACGTACTATCGACGAATTTAGTTTTGCGCATAGGCCGCTCCAAATCAAATGTAAACTGTGCGACGAGGCGCAGCGCGGCGTGGCGCGTTTCAAAGATATCGGGTGCTGATTGGACCTATCTCATCTCATGCCAACGAGGAAAACGGAGGCACATGAACAATTGACAAATCTGCTACTTTTTCAAGAAAATATCTCTCAGACAAGCATCTATAGATGCAANGTCGATAGTACATGAGAGATCAGTTGACCACCGCGCCGCCCATCTGCGGCGCACTATGGTCCAAAACTCAAGCATAGGAAGAAATAAGTCGGATAATGACTGAAAGATCACGAAAGTTTCGTAACAAATGTTTTTTTAGTCGCTAATTTCGAATTTGACGTAAAATTGCCTACGAAATTTATGGCACACTGCGGCGCGACGCGACGTGCTGCCAGCTCGAAACGCCCACTGACGCCTACAAACCTAAGAGGATACCTCACGCATTGCGCAATGCTTGAAGTATCCCCTTAGGTTTGTAGGCGTCAGTGTGCGTTCCGCGCTGGCGGCAGCACGCCGCGGCTCTCTTCGCGGGCGGGTGGTGACCGATTTCAGGCGGGGAGAGCTTCCTGACGGAGAAACTCGTGTAGGTATCGTGTAAATTTTTTTTTTTAATTTTCGACTTTTAAAATTACACACTAGTTGTGTGAAGTAATCAGTGAACTCTCAACGCTAGATGAAGTGTAATAATGAAAGGCGAGTCGTGCGCCATGCGCGCTGCGGACGACTCATGAAATTTTTCCCTGGGCTCTGTAGCATGAGAGATAACTTTCATTCTTCAAAAATTGAAAATTCAACATCATGTTTCTACTTATCTGGGTGTTTCCTAGGCGACTTTAAAATCACAAAGTGCAACACACACACACACACACCCTCCCTTGCACACACTCACGAAAATAAAAGGGGAAAAAAACCTGTTCTCAGGTAATTAGTAACAGACTAGGGATTTAACTTTTGTATGTTTAACAAAAAATTTTTGTCCATCAGCGGTGACGAGGGGTACATATTAAAAGATGTATCATTTCGGCATGACTTCTCTTCGGAGATCCTGAATTTTCATCATGATTGCCATCTTTATACCGATACGTAGCCTACAGGCTACAGGGACATCTAACAGCACCGAGGAACGCCTATGAACCATCCTAATTCTTTCCGAGACTAATTTCAATCTGGACCTATTGATTTTATAGTTCCTCACTCTGCTTAAGTTTAAAAACCCTATTAATGAATACCACCTCTTATGTATACTTTTCAAACATCCTCTTCAAAGATCCTATAAAAAATGGTCTGATAATCCCACTCTGGGCAGCTCAGAATATGATTTTATTGCATTCAGCAAGCTACATTTTTAACTTCCAAAAATTTTGCAACCTCACCTCATCAATTACTGTTCAGAAACTCCAAAAAGTAGAAGACTCTAATGTTTGAAATTCAGTGAAAATCTAATATTTTCAGGACTTCTTAGACAAAATTATGAAACAGTTATACAAACTCTGGACCGAACAAAAAAACGCATGGTTATAAAACTTTTGAATACTACTTGATATGGAATATTAATGACTAAATTGGAAAAAATGAGTAAGTACCTACACATATGTACCAATTGCAACTTCAGAAAATATATAATTATATCTTTGGTTTTGCTTGAGGAAAATAAATCACAAAAAATTCGATAAGGACTGTTGGTTAGCTTTCTTTCAAAGGAATACCTAACGCATGAGTAGAAATTTGCAGCATCGCAATCTGAGATATGCTTTTTTTTCTTTAGACATTGATATTCAACAGGGGGATACGTTAACCAAAAAATCAGGTTGAAATTAAAAGACACCAAATAAAAGATGAATAATTTAATGGGGTAGGAATTACTTGCATAGGACAATTAAAATACATATCTACTGAATTCACAAATGGTTTTAACGTAATCGAATGATGAGAACGATACCACTTTCAACAAACAAATGGTAAATTAAGACATTGACATTTGACAATCATACAAATGGTTAAATGACTAAAATCCCTGAGAAATGTCAAGCATGTTGATTATTAATAATGAATAAAAATATGCTGTATGTAGTGATGACTGTTTCTTGTTTCCACTTAATATACAAGAAAAAATGAAAACCGTGCAATGATTTAAAGAGAGAATGCAGAGACACTTTATGGTTTAATTACACAAATATATCCTTTCTTGACAGCATTCAAAAGATGGTGATATAATTTTAATATTAACTTCATTTAACTGATACGGGCTTACAGAGAAAACCATAGGATTTTCAAAAGTCCAAGCAGTTCGAATACATATTAAAGGGAAATATAAAAATCTTATCAACTACAAGTGGAATTTTTTTTGTAAAAAACAGTAAAAAAAACTTAAATTTAAAAAAACTGCGCTCATTAACAGTGACAAGGCGGTTATTAAAATTCAACAACTGCATTAAAAGAGAGGTCTTCAACTTGAGAAATTAGCAATAATGAACAAAAGATGATGATGTTAAACGTGCAAAAACAAGACAATTGGACAATGGTCACTACCCATAACTTTGCTGCGCATGACATTGTCACAGACGTTTGGCACGAGACGCTCTGATAGTACAAAATAATCCAGTCGCCTGAAAAAGAGAAATCATAACTAATTACATTTAAATGAAGAATTTTAAGACAAGAATAATAAAATAATAACTAAATTTGGGGAAAGGCTGCAACAAACCAGAGTATGAATTAAAAGGCCCGCGTCTTTCAATTTACCCTCTATGTTGTTGCAACCTTTCCCCAAATTAAGTTATATTATTATGTGCTTTTGCTAATTAAGCAGTTCATCTTCGTTTCCTGATTAGAAAAGTTTAAAAATGAAACTTCTTCCAGCGGTATTTACAAAACCAAAGAATCATCCTAAAATGCTATCTCCACTTTTGGCGCCCATAGTTCACGCAACTTCCCTGCCAAAATCTTTTTAGACCATTTACTGTCAGTCACCACTGATTAGCTGCTATTCAGGAGCTGCTATGGACCTACTCCATAAAGTTCAAAGCATAGAACAATAAAACATGTAAAAATTGCTCAGTAGTTGATGACGCTGAATGGTTCTTACGGAGATGAAAATGTCAGAGATCAATTATTAAAAAGCAGAGTTTCCTAATAACTCACTCGGACGAATTCCTTTAAACAATTCTATCTTATTATCATATGCGATTCCAGAAGGAGATTTTTTGTACATACAAACTCCTTAATTTTAAGACAAGAAATAAAATCCAACAGTTTGGCACTTATAATATGGACACAGAGATGGTAATTGTGCTATTGTGCAATAAAATTCACTGCGCAAAAAGCTAAAATTTTCATGAATGATGGAGGAAAAAACTCATGACTGTTTTAATTATGGCCTATCCTAGGAGAGGTATACTGTTTGGTGCAATAATGGCTACCACCAATCAAAAGGGCAAAAATAGACAGCACATTTCTCTGAGATGTGCTTAAATGAGGTTTTTCCTCCTATCATGAGAATTTAAGTTTGGTAACTGTAACTTAATGCACTGTGGCAAAATCACTACCTGTGTCAGAGCAACTCTGGCAGTTAACTGCAGCTGTTCAATATTTAGACTTGAAAAGTTGCAAATGGAAAACTGGTATTTAAAAATGCTGATATCCTCATTATGCACTGTCGTGTAAAATATTGCAGAGGGTACGAAAGATATGTTGTGCCTTGCATGCAGTCCTTGCAAGGTAGCAGTTATAGGTAATGCAAGTATGTCTCCTGCATATTGCTGACATGATAACAATCATGGCTGAACCGAATTTCCTGCTCCTTACTCGCTCGTGCCATTTTTAACACTTACGCACATGAAAAATGAGAGAATGCTTCTTCGTCCAGAAAATTCTGTGTACCTGCAACTATGATCCATCATGATAGATGAATTGAGTTAATAAAGTATTGTAGAAAGTAACTCACCAGCCAGTGTTGTTAGCTCTTGCATTACGGAGGTACGTCCAATATGTGTATGCTCCTTTCTTATCGGGATATAAATGTCTGAAGGTGTCGACGAATCCTTGCTTCAATAGATGAGTCATACCTTCTCTCTCCTCCTTCGTAAACCCAGCACTTTTCTGGTTAGTTTTGGGGTTGGCCAAATCTTGAAAGAGGATGATAAAACGTGAATTCAAACTTGTTTTTGACAAGTAAGCAATTAAAGGGGTGAAAATTTTGATTACAGAGTAGCGAGAAGAATTTCTGGGATGAATTTGAGAAGTGCATATTGTGCTCGGCCAAGCAAAATATGTATCACGAGCGCAATTTACACTTTAATGCTAGGTTGCTGTAGGTCTCAAGATTGTTTTAATTTTTTCTTTAAAATTTTTGCATTTTTCATGAAAAGTTTGAGGATTAATCTTAATCACAAAAGGAATATTAGGTGATATTATTAAGTGATTCTGTATGGTAGTTTTTTGTAAAAAATCGGATACGTTGGACAAGTTTGGCAACATCATGCAAAACCCGAATGATGCTTGGGATATTCTACCTAGAATGAGATTATGTATTTCTTTGAATTGAGTGCACAGTAAGACCTCGATTTATCGGATTTCACAGGACCGTAGGCCGAATCCGTTAAACCGCGTTAGTAGGTCCTGGGTCCCGCTGAAGGGGCTGGAGGATCGATCTGTTAAATCGCAGAAGCTGTTAAACCCTGATCCAATAATTCAAGGTCTTACAGTATTCGGAGTTCTGACTTCGTGTCTAAGACTCTACTGAATGCCATGATTTTACGATTGAATTACTCATTAGATAAGTTACAGGCACAAAAAGTGTCATCACCACCTAGACATGTATCACCACACTCAATGTAGACCGCATTTAGCAGAAAGGAACCAAGCCTCATCGCCAAATTTAATTGAGAAATTTAATTTTTTACAAGAGAACGTTGGTGTAGATTCTTTTGAAAATTTTAGAAAATTTGCTGCTTACTATGCAAAAAATTCACTGAAATTTGCGCAAGAATCCAAACAACCTTTTCATGGATTTCATTGGATCCTTTCTGCTTAAAGCATTCCATATGGTACTCCGTACCCTTGATTTAAGTTTTTTTTCAATTCCCCGGTCAAACTTCATTGATAAATGAATAAAATAATGTAAAGAGAAACCCCCAAATATGTAAAAAAAAAAAAAAAAAAAAAAAAAAGAGGCAGAAACGGTTTGAAAACTCACTCGCAAATAAATCATTTGAATCTCAGACAAGAGAATTCTTAAACTTTTTACGCCCTTTTTTAAACTTTTACACTTGAACTTGTGGAGTGATTTCAGCTCCTGGTTCCTCCTGCTAAAGCTCCAAAAAACTTTCTAAGTTTTGATATTCATGATGATTGAGTATAGCGTACCTATTTCTTCATGGGCCACATTCAGGTCTCCAACCAAAATCACCGGCTTCTTTTCATCAAGTTCTTTCAAGTAATTTTCAAAATCTGTATTCCATTTTAGTCGTTTGGGTAGTGTCTTTAGCCCTTGTCCAGCATTTGGAACATCTGAAAGGGGTGAGATGTAAGTTATAATTAATTTCAAGAAAAAAGTCAGTTCTACATCTACATTGAAAGGTTTGAATCTTCTAGTGAGAAGAAAATAAAAATCTAGAAAAAAACTTCATTTCCTTGCAAAAAAATCGATATGTAATCTGAATTTTGCATCGTGCATCATTAGGAATTACTGGAGATTCTCTCAAAAGGAGATGTCAGTAACTTAAAACTGGCGGCGAGGGCAAATATTGTCTCGTTTAATCTGGGTCCCCCTCATATATTAGCAGTTGTGAATTGTTGTACTTTTATTTTCAAAACTCCTGATAACAACAGAATTATTTTTTTTAAATGTGTCAAATTGAAATTCAAAAAGAAAAACTTATAATTACATGTTCCGACGACATAGAATTTTTCATATTCTGCGGTGATTACTCTGCCCTCTTCATCATGTTCAGGTTTTCCTAGTCCTTTTTTCACCGAGAGCGGCTTTTCTTTTGAGTACAATGCTACTCCAGCGTATCCAGGCTTCATACCTATATTAAAACAATGGTGATATAGACAGTATTTTGTACTCACTAAAAAACTGAATATTGGATTTAAATTTTAGGGGGAAAAATCTGAGTATCTAAAAATTTACAATAGAATTATTTTTTGCTACTTATATATGCGCTGCCACACAAGGTGTGAACTAGAGGAGAGGTAACGTTCTTTCTCTTCAGAAAATGATTCATGCCATAAAAAGTTCAGAAATCAATTACTGAATTAGATAAAGAAGAGTATTTTAAAAACAGATCAAATGGAGGCTAGATTATACTCGTGATGTCATCTGTACTTTTGGCACTGACCTATGTTAATAGTGAACACTTAGATCTTGTTTCCATACTTTGACCAGAGGCCCAATATGTATATGCAGTGATAAAACTTTGAATTTTGGGACCTTCTTTTTTCCACATAATTTAGAATTAGTATTTTAGAGGCAATAGCCATTATTTTCCTATAATACATGACAATCGGAATGTCCCAGTTCCGAGAATTGAACAAAACTCATTTGAGTTATTTGTTATGAATGACTTCTACAATTACATTTCATCTTTGAACATTTTCTAGACACTAAACAGGGTAGGTACTTTCTAAAAACAAGAATAATTAACTTTTAAGTTGAAAGAAGCCATTAATTTTCGAAAAGAACAAAGCAAAAAAATCCCATGAGTAATGGAAGCTATGACAAAAGAAGAAATCCAAGATTAAAAAGTATTTGACTTTGAGCCCTTTGGAAAATGATCAGTTTACTTTTCTGAGTCAAGGATGATTGAGATCAATGATTATTTCCTATTTTCCTATTATTTCCCACCGAGCAAAGTATGAGTGGTCGAATCTTCTTGAAAATCTGACACAAATTGTAAAGGACAGTACTTCTCTATGGTTAGAATAAACAAATGCTTATCTCAGATTGCGACATAGAAAGTCTTGACACATATTTAGTTTTTTTAGAAGAAGAACAAGCCTACAGTTTCAATTGAAATTTTCTGTGAATTTTCTTCCCTCATTCTAAAATGAAATCACTCACTACCCAAGGAAAGAGTGATTAGTTTTTCTTGAGGAAGATAAGATGTAATTTCAGATTTTTAGACATTGCAATTGAGATGCGTGTTTTCCATATTAAGTAATCGACTCCTCAGTATGTAAAAATTCACTCCAAAACTATATAATAGAAGCAAGACTGCCAAAAAGGTGCTTGATTGGGATCCTCCAGGGAGGTGACAAAGAGGACGTCCGGTGAAAGGGTGGCGACAGGGGGTTTTAAATGAGATGAGGGAGTGCCAACTCCCTGACGGGTTGTGGGAGGATCGAGTTTTGTGGCGATCAGGCGTCGCAGAGCGCCAGAGAATGCTATGAAAGCAACTCATATGCATAAATGTTAACTATATAATAATATCAAAATGACCCTTCAAGGCAAAAAACAATGCAATGAAGACTAAAACTCTTCATTCAGATTCAATCAATGTAAAAACTGGAAGCACTTAGAATCCTCGGAACGTCTCTTTTATAGCACTATCTGGCCCTCTGCGTCACCTAGCCACCGAAGTCCCTTATCCTCCCAAAGCCTTTCAGGGAGTTGGCACTCCCTCATTTCTTCCAACCCAGAATTTCTACCTAGAATAATAAGGTTGGAAAAACATTTTAAGAATTAAGTCTTACCAGCACACCAATACATGTGGTAGCCCTTGAATCTTCCTTCACCTGGTAATTCTCCCTCTTTGCATTTAACTTCTTGTAAACAAACAATATCAGCATCCTCTTTCTTAATGTAGTCCTGGCCATTTTTCTGTAGAATACAGGAGAACATAAAAGCTAAAATTCGGCTTTGTAGCAAGAAAAGTAGAAGTTGAAATATTACTCAATCAGTATGAACTGGCTGTATGAGAACATCTATGATGTGATGTGCATGAGAACATTTTGTGTTTTTTCCCCGTAATTTTCTCATTTCCCTGACTGGCCAAATCTCATGGAGAGATTTTCCTTCATCACTGCCAACCTGTTGTTATGTTGAAAACAAGAGGAGAAAATCACTCCCTGCAAGATTATACTTTGGCATTTGTGATGCTTATCACTGAAAAGTTTCTGGTACATAAGTTATTTTTTGTATTACTGATAGTGTTTAAAAAATCTTGTAATCAACAGTACTGTCTCAGGCATTGTGATGAAGTTTGGCCAAGTAGCTCGAGTGTTTCAGCTCTCCATAAAAAAACGTGTCGTAAAGTTTGGACAAAAATACAACAAACTGAAATGAGCGACGAGATGATGTTAGGTATCATGTATGACTAGAAACTTTAAGAAGCGGATGGGCTTGCATCAGAATGGAAATGTGCATTTTTGGTAAAATCATGGCAACTAATAGATTAAAGGAAAGAATTGCCTCCGAAGGATTAGGAAAAAGAGGATTTTAAAATGGAAAGGCTATGAACTTTCTTGCATGTTTGAGCATGCGTTGAACAAAAAGATGAGGACACTGCAAATGTAGCAGGAGATGGGTGATAATGAGGGTCAGGTAATCACTACTAAGCGAGAATCAAATGACATCTACAGTTGCCTAATTTTATCAAGTAATTTAATTGTTGGAAGGTTGCGCAAATTTTTTTGGAAAGTTCATTTTTTTTTTTTAGGGCATGAAATAAGTTACGAAAATAAACTAAAAGAGAGCAAAAACCTATTACCCTTAAAAAAATTGTCCGATGCGATATGACAATGTACTTAGTCGCTTTAAAACTAACAAGCCCTACAATAGAGATCTGTAATATTGATGAATTTTCACAAAATTTGAGACAGAAAGACACCGGTGGGAATAAAATTTTTCTTTATCAACGTAAGAATTTCGACAAACCTTGAGCACAGCTCTGATGCCTGCAACATTCCAAGAGGCTATTTTTAAATTCCATTTCCTTCCTTCTGAGTCAGTCTCTTTGTTGGTCCAGGTGTCAGTGTCCTCGCCAGCACCAGTTTCAGGAGCTTTTACTTCATCTTTCTCAGTTTTTGCTTTCTTAGCCTTGGGCGCGGAGGCTGATTTCTTAGGGCCCCGCTTAGACTTTTTCTTAGGCGTTTCTTCAGCTGATTCATCACTTGAGCCACCATCAGACTGCAATGCTTTAGGTTTTTGAGGTTCATCTGAATCACTGGCACTCAATTCTTCTTTCTGTTCATCGGCTTTCCTCTTCTACAAAGAAAGAAGAATAATTCTATACAGGCTATCGCTGACCCTCCATAAATAAAAAAATTGCTGAGTGGATACTGCTCAGCTCACCTGTACTGGTGTGAAAAAATTTCGAGGGTTAAAATTCGTAAACAGAGAAGCCTCGTCAGGAGTTCGAGTCAAGATCGATCCATATAGGTCAGTCATTCCCGAAACCGAAATGAGAATCTTCTGCGCATGACATCAGCATTACTGCCAGAGAAAACCAGAAAAGTCGGAAACAATGCTTTTCTCATGGGGAAAGAGAGCAAATTTTTCCTGAGGAATCATTTAAATTTCTTACTTTTAAATCCTTTGGAACTTTCTAAGTGTCGAAAGGAACGTTTGGACATTAGCTTCCAGGGTTTCAATTCAGCTGACTTTGCGTTTTTATGTTTTTAATTGATTTTTGAAGTCAGCGATGTAACGAGCCATCTAGTGGTAGAGATTCGCATGTAAAAATGGCTGATGCAGAGTAAACTGTAAAAATGAAAGAACATAAATTCGGCAAAATCGAAACCCTGAATGATAATGTCTAAAGTTCCTTGCGACACTCAGAAAGTTTCAATGGATTTAAAAGTAAGAAATTTAAATGATTCAAAAAGAAAAATTTGCTCTCTCTCATAAGAAAAGCATTGTATCCGTGCTTTTTCGCTTTCGCAGCAGTAATGCTGACGTCACGAGCCAATTGAGCCAATGGATGGGGCTTGCCCTGAGCGGGGGGAAATCTGCGCAATGACTGACCTATATGGATGGATCTTAATTCGAGTGTTGCATGGGCAATTTTGGTAGAGTTTAAGATCCCTCTCCTCCCTTAGGTGTGCTGAGGTACCCCTCTTGTTAAAGGAAACTTAGGGCAGAGTCAAATGGAGTTGTTTGTTCCTAAAAATTGATTCAGCATAAGCCTTTGCATTCAGATTGGACTATGCAGTGCTCATTTGAACTGTGCTAAACAGAAAGGAGCCAAGCCACATCAGCTATTGCAAAATTTGATAGGGCGATTCAAATTTTTACATGAAATTGGTTGTGCGGATTTCTGTGCAAATTCCAGATAATTTTCTGCTCAGTATGAAGCAGATTCCTTGAAATTTTTATTGGAATCCACACAAAAGTTCCCTGGTAAAAAATTAAATTTCCCAGTTAAATTTGGCGATAACTGATGTGACTTTGATCCTTTCTGCTACACTCCGTTCATTCGTCACTGACCGTGGTGTACCGCCAGTCAATGCATTCAATAGGTACTATTCCTGTAGCTTAATGCATCAAAAGATGATGACATCTTGGACAGGTGCCTATCCAATTTAAACTTTTCGCTGGTTTTAAGATGCCAAAAGTATTAATTCATCATAAAACACCAAAAATAAACTCTGCAAGGACGCAGTTCAAATGAATACTTTACCTCTTCCTTCTTGGTTCTGGCCATGGTTGGTAAGGCGAGTCGCTGGAAAGGTGATGGCAGAGATATTACCGGTTGCAAAATGTAAAAAGGTGAGGGAATTAAGGTGAAATGAGGTCTTTCACCTATACGCAATAGTTGAGGCCAGAATGCAGTTGTTAGACTGGGAAACGTGCGGCGTTTCCCAAGCACGAAACCTGCTAGTTTTAAAATTTTAAGGGAGTGATCTGACTTTTAAGTGAGAAAATATCTAGTGCAATATAATAAGATACTTTAAAGAAGAAAGAAAACTATCAGTAAAGGGACACAAGAACGAATGATGTGAAAAGAGAAAATTAAAAAATACAAAATTCTCGATCTTGAAACAAGAATCAAATCAAAACGATGTTTACTTTTTGCAGGCAAAGACCCCCTCGAAATGAGCAGGCAAGATGGCTGCGTGGCGCGACGGAAACTCAGAGCAGTTCGAGCACTCTCTAACCAATACCTACTCTAACCCATCCTATCGTCCGCATTCATTTACATATTAATTTACTGATACTATCATATTTTCTATGTAAGTGTTATCTTTGTAGGTAATGTTATTTATTTACACTCCCACATTTCACCTCTTGATGCCTGATTGGTAAATTTTACCACTTTCTGGATTGTTATGTACTTTGGAAGGTTTAAGTTATCAAAAGCAGAAATGTGCACAGATATTGTTTCAGCAATTTTTTTAAGAAATGTGCTAAGTGCCTCGTATTTACCTTTAACAGGAAGTTTCCAGAAGTTGTACCATTGTGCCACAAAAAGAAATTGATAAATTTGTGCGAATGTTTAGTTAAAGTTTTAGCTTGATGGTTCATCTTTACATGGAAATATTTTTGGTACAATTATAATTTCCACAATGAAAGTCTGGCAACACAGCTAACTTAGCAAAATCCCTCATATTTCTTAGGAATTGAGTCAGAGGTGAGGGTAAGATTTATCCCCCCCCCTCCCCCCAACTAGTTCCTCCAATGCGCACAGAATTTACTAAGCAACATAAAAGCAGAGGGAAAGGTACAGGTATAATTAATAAATAGGTATTTCACTACATGCATGGATGATCATTAAGTACCTTAGCAAAAGCCCTCATATATCTTAGGAAGTCAGGAGAGGGTAATATTTCTCCCCCCCCCATCCTCCTCTCAACTAGTTCCCCCAATGCGCACAGAATGTACTAAGCAGCATAAAGCAGAGGGAAAGGTACAGGTATAATTAATAGATAGGTATTCTTGACATGGATGATTTCAAAATTTGACATCTGAAGCATGTTTGAGATAATATTAGGCACCGATAGTATTCTCCAAAGGAGGCTGCAATGGGTGCTGCATGTATACAGCCTGACAAATACGTAGGTACAACTCTGCGTCTTTACGGACCAACTACACATCTTTTTTACGTAAAATTTAACTCTAAGTACTTATATTGGTTTCTCCCACACGTAGATAGCCTCCTTCTATTTTTTAAATTTTTCCTGAGATCCACGCCTGATTCTAATAAGGAAGGAAGGATGCTACCTTAGTCTTTAGCTGCCGAAGCTTTCCTGAAAACATATCTTGTGCGCATATAATCCTCAAACTCATCCCTTATCATCTGGCATCCTCTGCCTATTTAGCAATAAGTAAATCCTCTAATCAAACATACATGGCTCAGATATAAATGAAGCCCCCCCCCCTTTTCCATCAAAATTCAAAATGTAAATAGGTACATTTAAGATTAATTTCAATGCCTCAGAACGCTGGGGCCCCCACACAATAAGCTTGTGATTTCTCCAGAAATTCTAAAGATTCTCCCTCCTTCATCCTTAAATTATATCAGAAAAATATCTTGCCAAAGAATTTTAAGCATTACCCTGGTTAGGACTTGGTTTGGACTCTTATAGAAATTTCATTTCAATCAAAAAGGTCTATTCCCTGAGCTGAGCGGTTCAATTTTTCTCCGAGAGTGAAATTCGTGCTTGGCGCCATTATTAGCAAAGAGTAGAGGAGAGGAGAGAGCAACAGAGCATAATCATGGAGTCCGAGAGAGCTTCATGCACGCTCCACCAGCTACTCCCGCTCTGTGATCGCCTGCTCATTCCGAGGGGGTCTTTGCCTGCAAAAACGCTCAATCATTCAAAACACGAGCAAAGCACGAGGCCCGGGAAAATTAAAAACAATCATATTCCTCTTTTTGGACAGGGAACGAAGCGTGCATTCCTACTTCAGCAAGGAACCAAGCGGCAAAAGGCAAGACGCGGATAATATGAAATGACGCAAATGCAGCTGTCGGTAAATAATGTATTATCAGAGGAAGGAGGGTCTACGAAATTTCACAATCGTATAGTACGAAATTTCGTCGCTTGTCAAGCCAAACGAAAAAAAAAATAATTAAATAAAACAAAGAAAAAACCACTTAAGTTTTATCCTCCAGTACATTTGTATGAAGCCACTTTTCTCAAAAAGTTGATTCTTATTCTACGAGCGTTACGGTCAAACTTTACCGAATTAAATTAGGTACCATCACAAGGAGAGTTACTTAATGTTGTGTGTATTCATAACACAGTGTTATAATTACAGTAGCTCAAGTAATGGAATACAAAATTCCGATTGCAATGCAGTGATTCTCAACTTGTTTCATTTTCAATAAAATTTTGACACAGGTAAAATCTGGATTCCAGACGTCGTGTTCAGACACACATCGAAAGCACACCTACAAATGCATCTATTTTCAACGCAGTGAGACAGGCTTCTCAATCCGCCTATGCTTTAGAGAAAGACATCAATACTAAGTTGAATAAACTTCACTTGAAACTAAAATACAGCAAGAAACCAACCTTTTTGAACGATTGTAAGGCTTACAATGACGCGTAATACGCGCGTATGATGCTTTTGATATGTTAATACGCGCTCTAATAATCCCTTTTCAAAAAGTACCTAATACAAAAATCTTCGTCTATGGATGGACACAGTCTCTTTCAAATTTATGATTTAATTTAATAAAAACAAAAATAAGAGAAATGGACCGTCAGATTTTCCCACAAGCCAATTTATATAAAGGACAGAGGTCATAGAGTGAACAACAGTACTTTGTATTTCCTGAGTGATGAAAATTGTTACAGAAAATTTCAAAAGAAATATTATGGGTAGATATAAGTTGAGAGTATCACTAACCTCATACAGAGCATCCAGAGCATCTCGATTTAATCTACGGAGCCATTCGTACGTGCCGAGGAGAAAAAAAATTAGAAATAGATATCTTTTTTGGAACTGATACTGAGCTCCACTAGCCATGGCTGAGTTTTATCTAATCATGATTTTAATGATTGATGACCCACTTAAATTCTTTCATGCATTACTTCTGATAAAAGTACTGAGAATAATTTGAAGTCTTCGTTCCCCTGTGTTAGTTTTAAATGTAATTTTTTCAAAACAAAAATATCAAGGTCTGATTTAAGTTGCCACTGAGGTTGATTCATTGAAGGTAAAATTGCTCCCAATTGGTTTTTTTTTCTCTCCTTGGTGTTGAACTGTTGAAGTCTAAAGTATGAAATTATTTATGAAAACTTGAGAAACTTACTTAATTTTTTTTTGTTGAAAACATTTAAATTTTTTAATGTTGTATTCAACTTAAAGGAAAGAAAATTTTGAGAGTTTTGAGCTACTAGGAAAAGAAAAGGGTGAGAGCTTCAGAAAATAATGGGCGTTGCTTGAAGCAATGAAAAAATTGTTTGCAGCAAATAAGAACAGGACATTTTATTCAGTACAACAATTTAAAAATAATGATTCATGAGTTCAATGTTGATATAAATACTAGTGGAAAAAGATGAAAATAAAAAGATATTAAGTCATATTAAAATACACATAGAAATTATCAGATCTTTTCACATACCAAAAGAGATTTCATGAATTAAAGAAATATGCATCATACTACATAATTAGGCAAAATATTACAACTTGTCCTGGCACACAGACAATTGAGGCTCATTTGAAACAACTCATCAAAAAATTACACTACAAAAGTCTACGTTTCTATGGAGCAAAGAGACTGATGGCACTTTCTTCACTTCACGAAAACTAACTTTACATGCAGAATATTTCCAATTAATGACTATTTATCAACTTCATACTTGATAAAACTGACACAAGATACCATGAAGAAATGCTCTCAGAACATGCAATGTAATTATATAAACATCCCATGGAGTGCATTATTTGCATTGGGGAATATTGCGTCTTTAGTGGGTATTTTTCTTAATGGTTCCACAATGGAACCACTTCATGATAAAATTTTGTTGCGAGTTGCTAATGAAGCATTTCGAGAGTGATACTGCAAAAATGCAAATCTTGGTTACGGTGTTTCAAAATATCCACTCTTATTTTATTTTTCATGAGGAGACTGTACCAACAACAAAGCTTGAAATTTTCACAAAATATTCTTCACATAGAGAAGAACCATTGATGAGGTTTTCGAGACATTACATGTGGTAGTTTTTCATACATAAAATAAAGTATTGCAGAGAGTCTGCAATGCTGCGAACCCAGAAATGCACTTCTGTAATTTCACCATCCAGTTGTAGCGATGGCAACCAAAAATGAACTTGCTTGATTGAGTTTAACTTCAAAGGAGTAGCATTTTGTCCAAATATCTTGCATCAATTGTAGAAAAATTAATGCAGAGCTATTCATTGTGTAATGGAGATTACAAGTAAATAACAAGAGTAATAATAGCAATAATGAGTTAGCAATAATAGTAACAATAAAAATAATAACAACCAATAAATTACTATTTCTAAACAATTAATAGAGATACACTGATACTAATTTCACCGATCCACTCCATCCATACTTCATATCATGCAATCTGAAAAATAATGAAAGACCCCGAGAATTTGAGCCTTATTAAACAGTTCAAAGTAAGTTTTCCGAATTCAGCAAATTGAATTATTGCAAGCCTCAGTCATAAGAAAATTGTTTCGATACTCAATGGAAGATGCACAAATTATGCTTTTGATGGTACGATTAAAATATTCTCCTTCAAGTTTATTAACATTAGCACATGGTTTAACTTATTCTGTTTTGCTAATTCAGACTATTGTCCACTCCTGCGACTATAAGGGAGGAAAGTGAAAACAACATTGCTAATCAATATCATAAATACTACAAAATAACAGCACCATTTTTACATAGTTATCTCTTTTGCTTTCAGAATTGAATTCCTTTATAATACCATAAACTAGTATGTATTGGAACAGTATCCATTTGGACCCTGTTACTCATATTGTTCTGCCATCTTGAAAATGTGATTAATAAAAGAAAAGAATTGGGAATGTGACAACAGAAAAAGATAGAATTACTAAAATCCTTGGCTCAAATTTGGGGACTCATGTGAGTGACTAAAAAAGAAAATGTTGAGAAAATACTCCAATTCACAAACAAATTGTAAGTTGAGCAAAAGCTGTACTCATTGGTGAAACTGTCAAAATGTACTTTTGGAGGTATTGGAGGTTTTTTCAAAATTTTAGCAGTTTTAAATGCGGTCATGAAAATTGAACCATAACAAAGACAGTGAATATGTTTAGTACTTTACTTAGAAAATTATTCAAAAGGCAGTAATCAGAACAGGTAATCAGTTGCATTTTTAATGGGAGGAAGTTGTCAAAGATGTTGAAAAATACCTATATAAATAAATATTCTGAAGAAAAGTGATACTAACTCTTATGAATGAAATAATTGCTTGCCTATTGTTCAAAAAATTTGCATTTTCAGTGACTATATCGATGGAGGATAGAAAAAAATAAATACAAAAAATGAACACATCAAATTTTCCATACGAATACGGAGCAAAACTTAATTTCAATGTAAGTTTTATCATTGGAATCCTTAATCATCAACAATCCGTATGAAAAGGGGGCATTTTAGAAACCTTCAAAATGTACTGTACTGTAGGTCTAACTCAATAGGATGCAATGACAATGTTGAAATCTATGTTCGTGCCAGACACACAATTGTCCAATTCTTTCCAAAAGAAACAATGTAGACTAGGCAACTTCAGGCAAAAATAAGGAAACACTGTTGCAACTTTTGTGGACTTCAATGAACAATTGGGATTGATTCTAACACATCAAAGAGCTGACCTTGCTTGTCAATCGCAACATTTTTCAAGATAATTTAAAATCCTCGGCTGATCAATAAATTATTTGCAACTCAAGACAATAAATTGGTCTCAATTAATAGCGAAAATAAAACAACAAATTTTGAGGGTTTGAGCGCAATGTTTCAATTTCTGAAATTAAGCAAGAGTAAAGAATCACTTGACTTGAGCCAAACAAAGTAGATTCTATTAAGAACTAAATTTGCAGAGGATATGAATTTGCAACAATGACCAAACTATAGTTCAAACGTTGAAGCGGAGAAATAAAAAATTACAAGTCAAAAATTTACGAGCATGAGAGGAATACAATGGAAAAAGAGAAATCTTAATTTTACATTAAGTTAAATCAACAATATTATGGATTAACCGGTTATAAATTAATGAGCAAATCACTTAATTTATTGGCTGCTGCATGTTGGCAAACACAAAAAATAGGATAATCAAGAAACAGGCCAATATAAAAAATTTAAAGCCTTTAGAAAGTAAATATTCAGTTGAGTAAAATCCTTGGGGATAGTAATGATATCTGTCAAGAGGAAAAAATATTGCTGAGCAAGGTAAACTACCTTGCTTTCGCTACTAGAGCATCCAGCAATCTCAGCTTTGCTTTCGTGTTTTTGTATTGATTATAGATCTGTTCCATGGGCAGTCTGTCTTCCTTTTGTAGTTTCCTTCCAGTGGTCGCCAAGAATTCTTCTTCAAACTCTTTCAAACAGCGTCTCAGTCTTTTCTTGTCTTCCTTTACTGTTTTCTGCTGTTCAACTAACTCAGGGCTGAAAATAACAACAAGAAACAAATTAGTAAACATTGATCATTACGCATTGTCAAAAAAAAAAAAGAAAAGAAATAAGCTTCCCTTAATATACTTTTCAAAGGACTACATACAGAATACCAAGACTTTTGGTACTGGCTAAATTTCGATATTCTATCAAATGATGTCCCTTGTAACTTCCTGAAAACCATAATCTTTCAAAATTGAACTTTCTATGTGCCAGTCTCGAGAAAAAACTGGGCTGAGAACAGACTATTTCCGTCCTGTTTTCTTGGTATTCCGTATATAGTCCTTTGGAGATTTTTTAAAACAATCGCTGCCCATTAAGTCACGAAGACCATTTTACTAGTGGCAGTCCAGGGTCTCTGTTGTACAACTGATCCAAGAGTGCATAACATAGATGCAACCAAGAGGTATTATCTTTTTTATTTTCGGCTTCTTCCCCCAAAAAGTATAAACACGCAGTGTACTGTATTCAATGTCAGAGGCAAACATGGAGGCTTTTTTTTTTTTTTGCCGTTCTCTCTGAATATTTGCTGAATTTCTTTCAATGCAAGGTATTACCATAAGAATGTTATACCGTGGAGGACAGAATATTTTTGATACATTGTACTGACAATTGATGTTAGACTACTTACAAGGAAAGAGAGTGAAACTGCTCAGCTTTGAGTAAATCTGTTGTTGTATTAGAAGGTGATTTTACAGGAACTGGTTGAGCAGGTGCTGAAGCTGTTGTTTGTCCAGATCCGCCTGCAAACTCCATTGTTTCATGCTCATGAATAGTTGCAAGTTCTGTCACACTTTCTTTTAGCTTTGACTGTGGAGAGGAAAATATATACAATATTATTAATTGGTATAAAAATTCGAGAACATTGATCACCATTTAAGAGGAATTCCGATGGCTACCACTCTATATTTCATTGCAGAAAAAGTCAGAATAGAATTATGCAAGTCAACACTTGTGAATAGAAATTTCCATAAAATTTGAGTGCTGATCAGCTGATGTTACACAATCACAGATTATGATGATATATAATCATGACTTAAAATATTGGCATGAATGACAGATTTTGGTCTGTGTAATTGATGCATTATTTATCAGGATAATTATGGAAGCTTAATTTTCCTTGAACTTTCTCTCTACCTTTCATTGGTACTCACATAGATGAATGAATGAAATTATACTTTATTCTTTCTCCTTACAACTGCTAAAATAATTGCATTGTGGCTGTTTTGAGCTTGGCTCTGCGAATAATATGCAATAAACAATACTAAGATGAGCATCGAACATTATACATACATGATTAACTTAAAAATAGATCTGTGCGATTAATCGAGCATTAATCGTTCAGATTATGTGGGCGTGAACGGTAATTGCTGAGAGGCAAACGAGTAATTTTGAAAAGATAAGCGGAAAAACAATACTTACTGGTGCTGTTTTGATCAGCATTCGCTTGAGGCTTCTGTATCTGTCATAGAGGGGCCTGAACAGATCTCTTTCTTCCTTGTCATTAGGTCGTCCAAAAATGTTTTCAAGATGTAGCAGGGCTTTCTGGACAGCTGTCTTTTCCTCTAAAACTTGTTCATGACTTAACTCTTCCAAACAGTGTGGTCGAGAGGCAGCGATCCTTTTTTCTTCTAATTTCTGAAAAATTAGAAGGGGAGGGATTTGAATTAGTATGCAGTTGAAACATCTGATTATTTTCTTTGAAAGAAAATTTTTTTTATTGGTCTTTTAAGCTCGGATCGGATGCTTTTAGGCTTTCAGTTACTAATAATTCTTGACAGTAGCACGATAATACCCCAACTATCCGACCACCAATTGTCTGGCACTTAAATTATCTGATGGAGTCAAAATTGAGTCTCTGAACATGAAAAAAAAGTTTGCCAAAACGGCAAAAACTATTTTTTGGGCATGTTGAATAAAAACATGGTTTTGTGGGGTTAGTTTTTCAAATTAAATAACCATGCTTTACAAATATGATGGGAAATTGGCCAAGCCTGTGTTTCTGGTCTTAACCAGAGCCTGAAATGGCATTTTTTAAAACTTTTTATGGTAGTTTTGACTATCTGACTTTCTTTTTTACATCTGGAACGGTCCTCATCACAAATTGTTGGATAATTAGGGCATTAACACAGTGATAATTTAGTTTTCCTTCCTTTTCAGCTCTCTGGTTTTCCTGGTCCCCATTTAAGTTGAGATATTTTGGAAAGAGAATATTTTTGAATACTGATACCCCCTACTTTTAGAATTTGTTAGTTAGAGTTGAGCCTGCAAAACGCAGGCTTTAATTCAAGAGAGGAAAACAAATTAAAGTAAACCAAACTAAGATATTACCATTTCCATTTCTTTCACTGCTTTCTCTTTTATTGCGTAAGTAGATACGAGGCCATTTGACTGATGCACAACTTGAGTGGGAACGCCAGTATAGCCATCTTCTTTGTAAACTGCAAAAAGAGAATAAAACAATAATAAGGATTTATATGATACTCTTACAGAAAAAAAGGCCTCTAGATATAGATATGGAGTTTCAAATACAGGCAAGTTAAATTGCCCAAAATTCAGCTATTACAGATGAGAGCTATTATGATTCATTCTTCCTCAACCAGAAAACACACTGGAAGTAGTTAGGAACTTCAAAGTCATTTCAATTTTCGGTTCTAGGGGTTTTTAAGATACATGAAGATTTAAGAACAGCATCAGCGACTCAAACTCAAACTCAACCCATGAACCATTCTTAAATTTGGAATGATTAAAAGAGTCACCTTTGTTACGTTAAATTGATGATGCTTATTTTTACTCATATGCTGGGTTTCCTGAGTACTGAATCAATTGGTTGGATTACAGTATAAGCGCAATTTGGAAAACAAAATGTTGTAATACTCTCATAGTCAATTCACTTACTTTTCAGATCTTTTCTCAATTTGTTGAGTTGATTAATCATGTGTTTAGTATCCGGGTTGGCCATTTTATCAGCGACAGAAGGTGGGTAGCCGAATTCCCGCTCAAAACCCTCTTTGTAACGTTGCAATTTTTTCTTGAGGCTGTAAAAGCAAAAATTGATATCAGAAACGATGACTGAAAATTTAATGGTTTTCATTGAAATAAAGATAGTTTCCAGAGATTGTGTTCATGTGTAGTTTAATGGATTTGGCAATTCTGCAATCAAGGAGTTATGTTTTTCCTCTTCAACAACAACTGAGCAAACAAGAGTGACATCTTTGTATCATTCGGAGGAAAATTGGATGGAAGCTATTCCTGATTCCAGAACTACAGCTGAGAAATGGAAACATTGTACAGACGTAAGAACCCTCTGAAACTACAAAATCTTTGATAGGACACTATCTTACATGAATTCAGATGATTTGATGGAAAATGCAGATAGAATCTTAAAAATACCTGTGAATTTGTTTGTTGAGCTGCGTTATATGAGTCTCTCGGTCAGTAAGAAGGTTTGTTTGTCCAGGCGAAGGAGTAAAAGTGCGTTTGCTCACAATCAAATCATTGCGAGGGGATGCAAGCTTGGATTCACCCTGAATTGGAGAGATTTCAAATACATTAGTCAAGATGAGAGAGAGAGAAAAAATTCTGACAAGGAGGGCTAAGATTTTCACAAAATACTACATTTTAGTTGTGATATCAGTGGAGACAGAAGGTGGTTGGTCTCACCTATCACTTTGAGCCACTTAGAAAATCCACTGTGGAATTTTCGTAGAAAATTACCTTGCACAAAAAACCAGTGTAAGTAGCATCGGCTGACTTATGTTACCGTTTGATTTAATGTTCTTTACAATCTTCTGAGAACGATGAGCTTTTAAATCTTACATTTCGATGCCAATATCAAAACCCGCATGTTGAAAAGTAAATTGTTGGGCATTCTAAAACGCATTTTCCTAAAGAGATTTGGAACTGTTCCTGTGTATGATCTTGTGTGTGTTTAACTTCTATATTTTGCAGCAGCTTTACCCTCGATTAAGTGGTTATTTTAACGTGTTTTTTGGCTGATCAATTTGTTTCATATAGATTTAGGTTAGTTTCATAATATGTGAACTTGAAAAAATTTCATCCGACAGTATGAGGAGGGAATTCGATGAATATTATTTTCACTACTTCATTACTACAATAACTTCCTATCGCAATCTAGAAGCAGTGACTGTTCCCCGATGTAAAGTTACTGAAGTTAAGAAGAAACTTACCCCCATAATGTTATTATTGCTGGTGTGCCACTCTGCTGTGGCTGACAGAGGCTCGGAGAAGTTGATGCATTGTTGCAAAGAGGGCATTCCATCATCTGGATTGTGAGTTGGTTCCACTGCATCGCCAGGTGATTGATCAGATTGCTTTTCAAAGGAAAAAGGATTTAAATTAATATTCCAGGATGTCACGATAAAAAATCAACCATGTTAAGACGGATGATAGGAAGGTCAAAGCAAAACTAAAAACCAGTGAAACATCGAATGCAACGTTACAGATGTAAGAGCTGCTCAGGCAGAAAATACAACCAGCTAGAATAATGTTGCTACATCGAACAAAGAAGCCTCAAGGAATTTTTTTCTAAAATTATTCGAGAGCCTGCAGCAGTAGAAAAAAGTATAATAATGGCAAAAACCTCTACAATTTTTTGAGTAAAAATCGTTGAAATAGATAAATGAAATAGGAAACCTTTCTCAGGTCGGAAAAAGTTACTTGTTGGTTCATTTTAGTGAGTTTTTACACGCATGTTTTGTTTATTGAAAATGCGTTATAATTTAAAATCTTATCTCGATAGGAATAATTCGAAAATTAAACATCCTAGGGGTCATATGCTGATCAAGGTAACTGTATCAGGAAAGACAATAGTATTTTCAGTAGTCAACAAATTCCAACGAAAGAAATTACTTTCCAGATTTTATCTTTGAACTTCAGCTTAATAAACCAGAAATGATTAAAATTTTAGGCACAAATGAAACAGGATCATTTTTTAAAATAACAATGATGCTTGTGTCCAATAGTTTCATTCTGTTTCCTTTGTGAATTCTCGTGATACTTTCAGGCACACTTTTTTTGGAGAAACTTTGTAAAGAATGGACGAGGTATGTTCAAACTTGAGAAAAAAGAATAGATATCATAAACGAGCCAAAAAAAAGAAAAAATTACACAAACATATCAAGTGGAATAATAAGTGCTTGTGTAAAAAATAATAAAAAAAATATAATTGAATAAAAAATGCAATTAATCATTTGAAAAGCAGCTTAGTCTACAGATACAGAGGGCATTGTTAAACAGACAAGCAAGTTGATATTAGTTCCCATGAGTTTTTATCTGCATGTTGACATTGTACGTTGTTATTAAAAAAAGAAAGGTTTTTACAATTTAGAAAGAGCATAAGGCCGTGCAAGGGAGGGGGGAGAGAGAGGGAGGAGGGGAGAAACTTTTTACGGGAATTCTTTGATCACTAAATTTTCCGTAAGAAATTTGCTACTCTATTACATTCCATGCAAGATGGTTTTTTTGGTGTGAAAGGAAAATCTGTACTGGATAGAACAGATGAACTGATAATAAAGAAAATAGGTTAACAAATTTTTAAGAATAAGTCAAAGAGGAAAGTAGAAAAACAGGACGGAAAAATCTACTCAAAAATAAATAAAAGTGAATAAATAAATAAATAAAGTTTCAATAGATTTTGAAGAAAAGCTGCAGACAGATAGTGCTTGCTCCTTGTTTCAAAACGTGGTTCATGCATTTACTTTGAAGATGCTTCAGTTAGTATTCTGTGTCTAGAATAGCAAAGCTTAATTACCAAAACTTGAAACTCAGAGCAGGAACTAGACTGCGAGACAGATGTACTGGCCGACTCATCATCCGACAAAGGGGCTGTCCGGCAAAGCTGCTCATCACTGCCCGGAACCGATTTGCTTTCCTTTAACACGACATACGACATGCCATGTCAAGCAAATAGACAGGATAGCTACACGAGTATACCATATGACTTTTACCACACTACAAAAAAGTCCAATTTGTGGGATGCTTCCTTTGCTCAGCAAAACACACTACCGCAACACTAATGTTGACTAAGATAAAAAACGATCGCAGTCAGTTTAGTGATATGTAGCTTTGATACTTTAAAATAAGTAGGAAAAAACACAAAAAAGGGAAAGTGATTTGTAGGACAGTTTGAAACTTGGTTTTGAACAAATTAAAGTAAAAAACTGAAAAAATGGCCATATTAAAGCCCTTCAGTTGGTCCTCATTTATGTCTATTATGGGAAAAGAAAAACGATAGATGTTGTTCCTGTCTGTAGAATGGAGGTCGGGTAAAATTTTAGACAGTTTAAATTATAAAAATTGATGACACGAAACAGGGAATACATGCACTTGGGTGTAAATGATTATTTTAATTTAAACTGCAAATTATTTAGGTAAAAAGTTTGTTATCAGCAACAGATAAGGGTCTCAAGAGGTCTTGGGGTCCAGTCTCTAGATTTGCTCCTTACAATCGGGATGCCATCAAACTTCAAGGTCATTTTGGTTTATATATATTTGGTATGTACTTTGAACCAAAAACTTAATTTTGCATTCTTTTTGAGGAGAAGAAATGAAATAAAAAAATGTTGGAAGTTAGAGCGGAGAAAGCAACAAAAAGACACTACATCTTGGGTCATCCGTCTAAAGCACAAAAACAATAGCATTGAGCTTGCCTTCGCAGTCAGCAGAGACACGAGTTGGAGAAACAAAAACTTCAGAAGTTTACGCGAGATTCATGTTTAAAAAAAATGTATTGAGTTAATTTTTGAGATTATTGGCATACTTTTGAAACTCTAAAATTTAGTTACAACGGTTGATTTGTCAGTACACAATGCAAAAGAAAAAAAGAACACAAATAACTATGAGAGCAAAAATAAACAAAAGGCTGAGCAGCTTTGTGAATGATTTTCACTGCGTAATTGCGCTGAGAAATTATCAAATTGAGTTTGAGGATAAGGCAAATAAACTTTGATATGAAAGCAACACAGGAGATGATTTAAAGAAAAATTAAATAAAATACTGAAAAACAGAAGCGATTAGTTTTGTTTGTAGCCAACTTATCTACCCCCTTTGGATTCAGTATAAGACCGAATCTTAAGATATTAGTATAGGTATCAATGGCTAATATAAAAAAATGCGTGTCTTGAACTAAGATGTTATGAGTCCACGCTCATGTTTTATTTTTTCAAAGGAAACTCAATCGACAGTTTTTAATAAAATTTTCTGTCAATAAAACATAATCAGAGTATTGAAAATAATGCAATTTTGATACGCATGTTTCACATTTAACCATTGATACGTAGTAGCACTTGGTTAAATATTCAGACGTATGACGTTTATTTTAATGAGTGAGAGCATGAAAAATAAAAGTACATACCTCCGATGATACTGATTTGGAGTCATCAGAGTCATATGAAAATCTTGATTTAACTTTCCTCGGCCTTCGGGTTCTTTTTGCTGGTGCCAACCTCTCACAAGCTCTTCTTAGTTCATTCTCATTGCCGTCTAGATTTATCATGGGGCGAGGCGCAGCAACAGCTGCAGGGACACATTCTGGCGGGTTATTCTCTACATTTTCGACGGATTCTGTGTCCTTTTTCTTCAAATGGGGTGGATCTAACTCCATTTGATGCCCTTCATCTGAGTTCTGCTCATGAAGAACCCCTGCTATTGCTTTCTGCGAATACATTGAAAAAAAGAACAAAATTGGTGAGGATGTATTGAAAAGAAAATATTTACAAGAAAAAAAACACCTAAAAGGGCATTAGAGATGATGGAAAGTAAATCAAGCCGAGAACCAATTTGCATAAAATATATAACTCCGAAGAACAAATGATCAATTTTTGTTGATTTGACATAAAAGATCGAAAACGGGAACTAATGGTCCCTCAAGGACAAAAACGAAACGATTTTCAGGGGAATGGTTTCTTGAGTTAATTTTTTTTCCTGAAAAATAATAGAAGAACTCTGGATACAAAAGTTTAGCAGAAGGCCAAAATGCCAACGGTTGGCAAAGGACGAACGCTTTTGCTGCTCAGTTATATTCCTGATTTCTCTCATTGCCTAAGGTCCAATTTTATGGCGGCATGCCAAGATCAATGGTAAAATATGGTATTTGCTCTACTTTTTTAAAGTATTGAGAAGGGGGGGGGGAGAGAAGGTCACCATTCTTGGAAATTGCCTCCCGACTTAAGATTTGCCTCATGACAGGGTTGCCATTGAATTCAGAAAATGAATTTCCCTGATTTCTCTGACAAATCTAGATGGAATTCCGCGATGATTGAAGATATACCAGATGGTTAAAAAGACATAATTTGAAATGGTCTTCAGGCAAAATTTGTTGTTTGAAAAGTCAAACCCATTCTAGAAGGCAAATAAAGGTGACTTAACAATTTTTTTACTTTTTCCTTAAAATGTCCAAGTTTTCCGCTTATTCTCTGACTGTGGCACTCCTGCCTGAGGACTTGCGTTTAATTTAGGGATGTGTGATGGTTTTATACCTCGACAATAGTTGGGGCTGACTCAGCAATGAGTTCCATCAATTGAGAAGCTTTGATGTTGGCATAAGAACGGCCTATTGTATTTCTAAAATCTTCACTGCTGCTGACTCTTCGAATTCCCTCCATTTTACGACTTCTGCCTTCTCCATCAGCCATTCTTTCTTCTGAGTTTGATCTGGAAACAGATAATAATTAAGAATGAAAGAGTTTTGAACATATTATGCAGCATTAAATAATAAAGACGAGCTTTTGAAAAGTGTTACTAGCATGGAACTGCTATGTTTGGGACTTACCTGTTGCGATATTCTTGGACTCGACATAACCATCGCAAGACAAGAACTTAAATTTCACAAATTCATGATTGCCAAGGTTAGATCAAAACAAAACAAAAAATTAAAAGATTCTTGTGATGGTGGTAAGAGTAAATCGATAGTTTAATGGTCAAATTTGAAACTGATGTGATTCGAGCTAAGTTCTATTAATAAAGTATTTGTAAATTATAAAACCAAGGTTATAAAATATATTGGATTTATCAGATTTACTTCTTTTACGGGAGAATAGCGAGCTTTGGAGGTCGGTCATTGCACTTCATAGAAAATTTAAATTCCATTTCAATGATTGAAGAGGAACAAGTGGTCATTAAATTTTGACTTTCACATTCATTATAGCATACCGTGGAGGAATTCTTTAATTTTTGTGATTATAACTGGAAGGGACCCTTTTTAAGACGGATTTATAACAAGAAGATCATCACTGATTTGTGTTTCCTTCTTCCGTAGTTGTTTTATCTTGAAACTCATTTTCTCTCTTTCTTAGACTTAGTAAGTTTTAAATTCTGGAGCTATCACATCTTATCTTTCTTTGTGCTTCTTCAGTGCCAGATATGCTGGCTAGAATTTAAAAAAATTTGAAGCTTAAATATTAAGAAGTTTTAAGAAAAACCAATCTAAAGGAACTACCATTGCGATCAATTCTGGGTGCAAGCATTCCTAACCCTGGCAATCGTGAAGGTGTATTGAGTGATATCATTTTAACATAAACCTTTAAAACACTGCAACGACTTTAGGATAGAAATCAAATGGTATTGACCATCAAGCATTGAGTAATTAAAAAAAGAAAAAAAGATATGCAAAAGCACAAGAACAATTGTAAACCAGCTTTTAGTGATAAAAGAATGAATTAACTGTCACTGAAGAATACCTGAAAGAACAGCTGATGATAAATCTCAAATTTTTGGCCATCTCAAATCTGCCTCCATAGAGATCTTTGGGACAACATAATACATTTTTAGATTGAACCAAGTCTGTATCTGAACATTTAGATACATTTTCATGTACAAGAGTGGATTTTTGCCCTCCCTACAAAAGCTTGTTTTTTTTTGTTTTTTTTTGCTGAAATAAGATGTCTCTATACTCTCTGAGTACATACAATTGGTTGACTGATATTTGGAATCCTGTATTAGTAGTACAATTTACAATTGAAGGGTCTCATGAATGAAGAGGTTAAGTGCCTTTTTCGTCATTTCTATGAAAAATATCTTCAATAAAAAATCAATTGAATGCTCATTGCAGTCATTAAGTCTGAACTCAAATATTAAGGAAAACATTTCAGCAATAAAGTTCTGTTTTTTCATGGAGTATGTCTATACAGTGAGATGAGTTTCACAAAAAATTACTGACATCAATATATTTTTAAAGGGACACTGACTTCCCTTTTAGGAACTCAAAATAATCTAAATTCAAATTTGGATTTGAAGATAGTCAAATCTTGATCAAATTTCTTATTGTTGACAAAATATAGACGATCCTAATTTCACAAAACTATGTTGAAGGAACGGGTTTCAGGAAAAGTGGTTTAAGTGAAAAATAAAATCTAAGGAGAGTAATTTAAAAAATTAGTTACGTAAATGTTCCTAGGATTTTGATACAGTACTAGATATTAGATACATACCTTACAAACTTCCTATCCACAGCTTGGCACAATGGCACATCTTTCCGTTTTCGCTGATTGGTTAGTCGAGTGATTTCAGTCAAGACAGATACGGGCTTTATTTCAGAGGTGGACCCGCACATTATAAATCTACAACAAAATGAACAAATATGTTAGGTGAAAATCTAAACAGAGAAATATGTCGTCGAGAGATACGATGAAGGCTTTGTTCAAAGGAAGTTGACAGAATCGCCGCCGAGAGAGGATGCAAGTCATATGGTTTTTAGTGATCAGCTTGAGGAAACCCTTGAGTTAAGGGTTATGGTAAGAGTTGCATGGCAGAAAAATTGATTAATTTTTAAAATATTTAAAACTTTTACAACGCCCGAATTGCAATATAATGTACCAAAATTATGGAGCAGTAGGAAGCTTCTAAATGAAGGAAGTAACCTCTCACTAACCATGTATGTCACTCGAAATATTCTTTAAAAATAAAATTTGGCCACAGATTTTTTAAAAATCATAGGTATTTGGGGTCAAAATCAAATTACTACAAACAACCCAAACATTTTCAAGGAGGAGGATGAAGGAATCAATTTGATGTTAGAAGATAAAACAAGAAAAATATTGCATAAGGTGATTTAAAGACAGTTTCTTTAGAGTCACTTTACCTCGGCATTGGTCGAACAAGCATAGTGGTGGTGTGATTGAGAGCCATTTTCAAAATTAAAAATTTAGCACAATAATCGTACAACACAATGCAACGATTGCAATTCAAAATATTTTTGCATTACAGTATTTCATAACAAAGAACAATCCATTACTAAAATCCCGATAAAGCACAACGATGATTGTCACAGAGAATTAGATGGAGTCATCTTCTGAGAACAACACAAATGACTTTTAGCAAACAATGGTGCAAAAAATAGTGACTTGAGAAACTGAACTGTCACGATTCAAATGCCAAGAATGAATACAAACACAACACTGGAGGTGAAATTTGAGAAGTTAAGCTTTTATACGAACGGTTACAGAAACAACAACACTATTACTCTACCCCTTCCACTGACTCAAAACCAATAAAATACAATGTCAAAACTGTTGACTTTGCTGGCTAATGAAACGCTTCATCATGACTTATGATGAGTACCTGCACTTGAGTCCATCTACATTTCCCATGACGTCCGTGTGACAATCAAGTGCTCCTCTCAATGAATTCTAGAGAAAGTTGAGGGTGAATGTACGTCATTACGGATCCTAACAAAGATAAAAATTCGGACTGCTATAAACAACTTCTTTGGTTGTATTTTAAACGTAATTGTTTCTGGGATTCAGCGCACGAATACTCTTTGTAGAATACTAGAACTAAGAAGTGGGAATGTTTAATTTCATTGGAATGTAAATAATGAACAGAAAAAACTTATCATATTTCCCGGTTGGTGCGCCATAAGGCAGCAGAGTTACCTACTGATGATTAAAATTGGAAGTGCTGGGCAAGTAAAATAAAATAAAAAAAATGTATAAATTACAAGGGTCGAAACTCAAACGAGAGAGAAATCTTCAAAACATTCAAAATAGGGCCTTTCTCAGAGTTTTTTATAGTTAATTCACGAAAGCTCAATTTACTGATTTTAATCAAAGTTTCCCAAAAAATCAGGTCCATTTCAGTTTTTATGCTGCATATTTCCAACTGTCAATTTGACTTTTTCCTGAGAATTTTCATGCCAACTTTTTGCGCACAAATTTTTTTTCAAAAATTTTAAGTAAAATATTCGACAAGGATTTCCCGATAAATGTATTCCGACAGCTTCTTTAAGTTATTATCAGTCCAATTTTAACAGTTACTACTGGTGATGGTTAGAATATAAAAAATTTGATTGAGAATTTTAGGTGTGAGCTAACGGTAATCATGAATTACAAATGAGATAAAAGATCAAACAAGAAAACTTTTGAGTCATTGAGGATATTGAACTAATTTTTAAGCAAATTAAATCTGAAACTTGCTTTAAACATAGATTTAGACTCACCCAAAGCAAGAAAAATGAAAAGCAGAAGGATAGGAAACGATAAACTGCATACCTCATTTACTTAAAAAGAAGAATAATTTGGCAGCAATATACTTCACTAACCAAAATAAGGACCCTACTCATGACGATGTTTTGGGAAGAAATACTCCTATACAAAAAAAGATTATGAAAATGCATACGATTATGTAATCTAACAGATGTGAGCAATGATACAAAGCCCCCATTGCAGAGATGAAAAAATCTCTTTCGATATGGAAAATCAAGACGTAAAAAGTTATCTGATATGGAATCACACCACCACACAAAACCAAGGAAAACATTCACATGAAGCGTGAACCGGCAGAAAGGATTTCCTAAAGGCTATATAATAATAATTGTCAACAAGTTATGAAATGAATTTTGATGAGAATTTAACGACCAATCAATCATACTGATGCAAGAAATCTAACTAAAAATAGAGGGAGAGCGTTACTCAACTTAAATTCATTTCTTTCATTGTAATTATACGTTACAAGAACCTTAAGGTACATTATCTACTTGCAACTTTTGGACAGCTAATTTTTAAAACTACGATCAGCAAATTACAACGAAATCGATCAAATCTTTTATTTGAATCATTTTATTTTTACTGAAAATAGGAACAATTTTTATGGAAGTTCGTTCAAAATATACAGATTTGATTATTTAGCATTGCACTTAAAAAAAAAACCAGTAAACCAGGAAAATTATTACCCTACCAACTATTTAACTAGTTTTCAACATTTTTTATTCCCTGAACACATTAAACTGACAAAAGAGGAAGAGAAGAAGTCCTCACCTGTTGCAATCGCTGAAAATATGATTGCAGTCAACGATTAATTTTGCCATGATTGCATCAGTTTCAGGCGTTGAGATTCCATAGAATTCAGCACACAGCAAGAGAGGACTAAACACGCGAGCTAGGTTCATGACGTCATTATTCATTGCACAGCTAAACTGTTTCTCGACGTAACAATGAAGCAGTCGGAGGATTGCTTGGAATGTTTTCTGGTTCACACACGGCAACGTAGAGAATGCTTTGCGCACACCTTCTCTCAATTCCTTCACCTCATCATCTTGATATTCTGGACAAATAATAATTATGGAAGATTTAAGAAAGGAGAAATAAGAATTAATTAATTATGCAAAACAAGTTTGAATGAAAAGAAAAATGTCAACATTAAATCATAACCATGGGTGCTTTTTTCTGTAAAACAGAAATTCCCATCGAAAACTTATTTAGAACAAATTGTTCTCTTTAACAAAATTCCTGGTTTTATCCTTCCAAGTATAGTGGCTACACTACGGGGTGATGGATCCAATTAGACTTGAAACATTTCTGCAGATGTATTGGAGAGTTTGCGTTGATCAATATGGAAAAAACGAATTTCTCAGTGCTGAGTTGAAATTGGAAGCTTATTATCCACTGTATTGTACACAAAATTTCGACTGTGGAACATGTAATGTAGTTGCATTATTTTGTACGCTATCTAAGTTTTCATTTGGAGTAAATGGGCCTGAAGTACTTTAAATGACATTATTTTTGACTAGCTCTGAGATCCTTCCAGTGAGTACGATGTATGTACTTATTCGGGAGTAATAGTGTGGGCTATCCTGTTTGTAAGAAAGGAAAGAAACTTACTGTAGTACTGCCGAACTAGATCAGCAGTTGTTTCTGGAGGTACAAGAGGCTCTGGAAGATCACGGAGCCATACTTTCAGAAGACAGGCAACAGAAGTGATGTCTCCACAAGCTTCTAAACACACATCTCCAGTGCGATCAATCCAAATTTTTAACTGTTCCACCAATTTTGGATTTCCACCAGACAATCGGAACAGGCCCTCGATGTCAAGACCTAAAGTGAGCAAAGAAAAAAAAAAACAGGTGAGTAGGTACATTAGTCGTCAATGTAAAACAGATAACCATTTCTTCCATGTTAGAATCTATTCCCTCTTCGTGATCAAGATTCTCCCATTCGTGAGGGATAGTTGGATGCTGGCTACTGACGTTGCCTTACTCAAGTTTTATTTATTTATTTTTTTCTTTTTCTTGCCACATGTGTTAGATAAGGGCCACTTCATAATATTTAAGAAAAATGCCTACATTACCTACATTTCACAGGAAAGATGAAGCAATACGAAAATTGCTTCAACGCACACCCAAAAAATCAAGGATAGCATCATGAATGTAAACATTGAGAGCTGACGACAAAAGCAAAGAAAATGAGTGGCTTTACAGTGAGCCAGCCATTAATTCTGATTTCTTCAAAATTAGTTGATGCAACCAAATGACTCGATGGCACGCATTCGGAGCCTTTTACTTTGTTTAATTTTTACTTTCGTTTCATTATTTCCCCAAGAGGAAAGATTGTTCAAGCAATCCGTTGCAGCAATTAATTCCGCAAAAACATTAAACGAAGACAAGTCCGCAAATAGTTATGTTTCCTAGTCTGTAGAGAGCAGTATCGTTCATAACAAACTAGGAAAGTAAGAAAATTACTTTCGACCCATAAAATACAAATGACACTTTTTTAGCAACACGACCTCTTATGATTTTTCAATCAATAACAACTTTATCGCAATTTCAGGATTCCTTCCGTATTAATCTATGTGCTCATTTTTGGACATTAAATTATTCTAGATTGAACGAAAATTTTTCCTAAATTATGAGTTTTCTTTTGAGAACATAATCTTTCAACATAATCGAAATTCGTTTATTCCCTAAAGTGTAAATAAGTCTGAAACCGTGTCTTTAAAATTGGAACTGAAGGGTATTACGGACAAAGGGATGATGGATATTTTCGAACCATTAGAGCTATTACAAACTGGTTATTACTTGAGCGACTTGCTTCAGAGTATCCTTTGATGAAGAAGAAGAAAAAATAATCTGAGACTGGGTGGTACCGTTCATATTTTTTATCTTACAATGAGTTGCACTGCATTTTGCAATTTGGAACTATAAATTCTGGCTCTTCTAGAAAAACACTTATGTGCATGGGGAAGCTAATGGCACATACGTCGTTTTTAAAGCGAGCTAGAATTTATAGTACCAAATTGCAAAATTCAGTACAGTTGAGAGTTTATTCGTGTCATAAGCTGCCACATGTTTTCCAACATATATTTTTTTATTTTTTTTAATATATTTTTTTTACATTTTGTTTTAAAAAATACATATTTTTCACGTTCTCATTCATGATACCCCTCAATTGTATCCATGATTGTGGAAATCAGCGTTCATTGAAACCATACCTAATCTTGAATTCCGCACTGCGACAAATCAGACGCGCAAAAGCATCCGACTCCGAGAACCATTTCTTTTTCTTTTTTTTCCGAAAAGTAGAACCTGCGTCAATTCCGCTTTACCGCCGCTTCATATGTCATTTTCACTTCTTTCACTTCTTCTTTTTTTTTGAGGACGGGTAATTCAAGTGCTTCCTAGATCGTCGGCACTAACCGCTTCGTTCCAGAATACTGTCGTGCTAAGGAAAAACGCCGTAAGAACATTCGAGAGTTGCCAAATTTCCTTCAATTAAATGTTATTTCGATGAAACTTAAGAATATTTTTCCTTGAAATTTTCAGCGACTTCAGGTGAAATTGCGAACAAAATTATCTGAAAAATTGGAAGGAAAACATTCATAAGTTTACCAGGAAATTCGCGCTTTATCAAAGAAAATTTAGCAACGCCGGAAGGCTCATATGGCGTTTTTCCTCTCCACGGCAGAATACCTTTCTGCGTTTCGGTTTGATCTGCGGGTCAGCTAAGTGAATACTAAAACCGAACGAGTCAATCATTCCTAGAACCCCAGAATAGAAGCGATCTTGCGGAGCTCAGAGCTTATCGGAAAACGAACTCGTGCGGTTTTGAAAGCAACCGGTTCGAGTAAGCTCCCACTCGAGTTGGAGAGCTTTTTTCCAATCCTCGGATAAGCCATCGGCCGAGCAGTGTCGTTCGCGCGCAGCCGAGATTTCTCCGATGCCGCCCACTCGAAATACGAGAGGAAGAACAACAAAAAATTTCGCGCCATCTTCCCAACACCTCTCGAGTGCTTCGATTGGGAGACCTCTTCAGAGGGTGCTTGTATTAATAGATCTATCCCCCCCCTCCCCTCCCCGGCTTGCTTACTTTGTCACCTACGACCGGAGCTGTCGTTTGAAATTTTCGAAAAAGATACAGGAAAAGAGCTGCGATCGATCCGTAGATAGTCCAGAAAATGTTAGTGCAGAAAATGTTCCAAACTATTCGCATGTGCTCCAAAAAAGTAGAGAATCGGTAAAATTATCCTCATTGAATGAAGACGTTGCATGTGTGAGGAATTTGCGATTGACTACTGATTCTTAAGTAAAAGTTCGCGAGAAACACGATGGTGCCACCGGTTTTCTCTGAAATTAACTCCCAAGCTCAAAAAAAGCTCTCAAGTTGAGGCCAAAATGGAGGGGATATCCCACGCTATCCTGAGAGTCCACCTCTACATCAAGACAAACTCTCCATGCAAATATAGGGAGTAAATACATTAGCAGGGTTGCCGAGTCTTCAGTTGTGGAGTCCCCAAATAAGGTGGCAGCCCTGTCAATGTATTTGCTCCCTATCTTTGCATAGGAGTTTGTCTTGATGTAGAGGTGGACTCTCAGGATAGCGTGGGATATCCCCTCCATTTTGGCCTCAACTTAAGAGCTTTTTTTGAGCTAAGGAGTTAATTTCAGAGAAAACCAGTGGCACCATCGTATTTCTCGCAAACTTATACACGAAAATCAGTAGTCAAATCGCAAATTCCTCAAACATGCAACATCTCCATTCTACAGTATACACTGAGGATCCGTATTTTACAGGAATAGAGAATTTGCAGGTATCCGAAATTTGATGAATTTTATGGTGAAGTGGAAACTGAACAGTGAACTGAACACGAGGATGCCCTTGGTTCATAAATTGAACACTCATTGGATGAGATACGACAAAATGATCTGATCTGCTAAAATGCACGTTTTTAAATCGGAAATGCCGCCGGGCGATGTCACCAGGCAGTGTGTTTTCTCACGTTTAATTATATTTATAAACTATTTCAGACATTAGAAATACCGAAAAATACTACCAAAAATACTTCGAAATCAGCTCTTTAAGCACTCTCGGGTGAGGCAACAAAAAAATGTGCGTGCGAATTCTCCATCTACATATATATGAAAGATTATCCGTGAAACTTGTCATTTCCTGGACGGAAGAACATGACTACATATATCAGACTACATTTTAATGTTGCAACGTTTTATTTCCCACATTGTATTTTCAATAGGAAACCGTTGGACGTTTCAAACTAGAAACTGTACTGATTTTTGCTTTCACTCTACAAAATCCGACAGCGACGCATCCACTCATAATTAGAGCGTGCAAGATCGTTGCGCATCTTCTTAGATTCAAGTCAGTCCCACAAATCCACCGGGATTGACTGAAAAGCTTTTCTTACAAAAACCTAAATGCTATAGGAATCCGTTCACCCGTATGCTCTTCTTCAAACAGGCCGTTTACTTAAAACACAAAGGGACTAATCCCTCGTTTTTTTCTCTCTCTTCCTTCTTCATAAAAACGGAACAAGATGCGAACAGGTATGAAGACACGGTATGAAGAGTCCATTATGATATGAAGAGACGATATACGTACCATACTGCTGGAGAAACGTGCAAAGTTTGTCGACGATGAGAGGGACCCCGTCGGGTGTTACAGGGAGTTCTCTCAGGGGTACTTTGAAAGTCTTCACGGTGCCAGAGCGCCGGTGCAACGAATTCGCCAACATTTTTCGCACTCGCGATATCCTTCCTTCTTGCTGTTGAAACAAACCAAAAAACACGAGAAAATTAGTAAAAAAACAAGCTATATAAAAGAGTAGGAGAAGATAATACACTGTCAAAAATATCGGGGTGAAATTCGGAGTGCGTTTCACTCTGGAGCCTATATCGTTCCTGGAATCTACTCTTCTGCAGCACGATTTCGCCCCTTTTCGCAAAGTTAAATCTGCTGACGGGGTGCATATCCCTCCTCGTTCATTGCTGATTTTTGCGAGCAAAATAAGCGCTAGGGTGAAATGCATTCCGGGATTCATCAACAGGTCAACCTAATTTTCGAGAGGATTGTTGTGCTTTGACTTCACTACCACAAATTGAATAGGATCGTTTCGTTCTCGCACTGGTGCGTAACGCTTAGCCAGGGTGTCTGCTAAAACAGGCTGGTCAAAAAGAAGTACTTTTACAGTACTTTTTCAGAACATTCTCAAGCAATTTACTACCTCCTCTAACAGACAAATTCCGTACTTTTTCAGTAGCTCCATTTGATGAAATTAGAAAAATTTCAAAAATTTGAATTGCGACAAAAATGACAAAAAAAATAGAAAAAAATTTCGGACCTTTTTGCGGAATTTCCGCACTTTTTCAGAACTTCCGGACCGCCATTGAATAATCAATAATATTTCCGGACTTGTAGATACCCTGTTAGCGCGCCTTCAAAATTTCAAGTAGACTTCGATTGATGCAGTTACCTTACAAGTCCGCGGTTGACGCAGATTTTTGTTCCTGTCATCGATTGCTAACAAACAGATAATTCTACCGCGAATATTCAGCTCGTACCTAAGAGTAATATAGAAACATACGACTCAAGACGTTTGGTAAACCAGTTTAGGTACTTCAAAAGAGTTTCCCTCTGATATTCAAGCTGTTATGTAACATAAATTTACTGACTTTTTGGAGATGTTGGTTTGGAACATGTTTTTGTCTATTACCGGGATCTAAAAGTAGTTGCGTGGCATGTTTTACGATCTATCGATATTTCTCCATTTGAAGCTGTGCTGAATAATCGATTATTAAGGTGTTCGCTGCAAACACCCTGTTAATCTATACTTTTCCATAGGTTTAAATGGTCGATCGATCGATACATCGCAAAGCACGCCACACCACCGGCTAAAAGTCAACAAATTTACATGACGCGCTTAAACTAGCAGCGCCATTACAATAGATAATCGTTGACGTGTTTTAGAACGTGAAGGCCCACTTCAGTTAGGGTTACTCAGTAGACAGAGAATTAAAGGTGCAAAAATAGTATCAAATAACCACATATTATGCTACTATTTTGACTCTAGAAGAGTGTGGGATTTTCGCAATGCCCTTAAAAGGAATTTAAAATAGAGCCTGATGAGTGCGTGAGAAATCATTAGTTCGAGTGCATAATCATCCTCTCGAGAGGTAAGACGCATTAAAGTGGCGAGGCGTGGATTATCTATTATCGTTAATCCCCATTTAAAACTAGGGTAAAGAATCGATTACTGAGGTGTTCGTTGCGAACAACTTGCTTATCGATCTTTTTCCATAGGTTTAAATGGAAGACCAATCGATACATCGCAAAGCACGCCACGACATGACGCATTACTGTTCCTCGGGCAATAGAGCGACTGTCGCGATCGAGTCTATTGAGACATTCTTTGCAGAAACAACGTGTGAACCTCGCGATGCTCCTCGGATTAAGCTACACATACACGGGCTCATTTTTTGAACGCCGTGGATGAGCTTAGCGCTAGAAACTGTGGTTTGACGAACTTTTATAAGTTTTGATACAAGATTGTCGTCAAAATTGAGGAAAGGCGACGGATTTTCTGTAAGGGAAAATTGTAATGCCATTTGTTGTGCTACAGTCTTACCAGTGAAAGTAGAAAATTACGAGAATGCACCTGTTCATAGGCTTGGGACATTACAGATTTCCTGTTGCATTTAATTTTTCCGAAAGCCTAACAGTCATAGTTTTTGTTCGGAATTCAGTGCAGTTTATTGGGATTGTTCATTAAGCATTTCGCACTTGAATATCAACAATATTTTTCAAAAAAAAAAAAAAAAAAAAAAAAAAAAAAAAAAGATGACGCAATGTGCCGCAAGTAAAGCGGTGAGTGCTTAGAAAGTCAAAACGCCTTCAATTTGGTGCGTATGCAACACGGATATTCTTGGAGCTCGAATAGTTGCATCCAGGCGTTAAATTAAAATTCGTTCCGTGTTCGACACATGAGATACGATCAGAAGGCGTTTTGCTTGTCTATCTCACGCATTAAGCTATTTCCAGTGTTGCCAATTGGGCAGATGAAGTCTATTACTATAGATATTATTGCGACATTGTCAATTTTCCAGAGGATTATTAGATTGATTGCTGTAATTAGAAGGTTTTAATGATACAACCGTGGTTCTTTCTATGCTTCATGCGTGCGCAATACGCAAACCTTCTCCCGTTCACTGAACTCATCAAAAACTTACAAATCTTAAATCGTTGTTGAAATTAAGGATACTTGGGGTAGAATGGAAGGTTGCGTGGTTTAAAATTAAAATAACCGTTTTTTAATCGCATTTTTTTATTCCGTTAAAGACGGTACAGTGGGACAATACTATTTTGATCTCAAAAAACATATTTTCCAACTATTGGAGTTCCATAGATGGAGCGAAAAACCAATCGCTGGCCCATATTTATTGCATAACATTTCATCTAAAGTTATACACGCTTATTCGAGTTTTTTATCCTGGACCAAGCTCCGTTTTTTCACTCGAAGCGCTGACAAGTAATGCGCAGTGGACATTGGACAGGTCCTTGCTAAACTGCGGGTTCTCATTCAAAGGGAAAGAAACTTAGAGTACTTAAGTACTTGGTCAATGCTTCGTACGTACGATCATCGATGATATACTTGAAGATTCAAGGGAGTGGTTCGTCTGTCAAGTGGGCAAATAACGCTTGCGAGAAAAATTCAAGTGATGAGCTCCTAACAACTACTTGAAAACTGTAAAAGCATTCAAATTACAGGTGAGGTTTCATCTCATTTTGAAGGGGAAATAAAGATGCTGCCGTCCCATTAACTTCAAAGAGGCAGCGACGAATATCGACCACTTCTAAACTAGCATCTTGAAGATAGTTGGAGGTGTTGATGTTCTATTGAAATGTCGTCCTTAGTGCTAAGGACAATATCGCCATATTACAACAGACAGTAATAACGTCCCGATTTTCGAAACCTAAATTCTTTCGAAATTCGACTAACCTATCGTACTTTAAAATATTGACTTAGAAACTTTAAATAAGTTAATTTAATAATTGACTTATTTAGTATAGTGATAAAAACAGCGGTATTTGTCGTATTTGTAAAAAATAAAAAGAGTTATAAAAAGCGGAGAGCGCACAAAAATTGGAGTAATTTTATACAAAGTGGCAGTACATCCACATTATTCTGTGAGATAGCTGTCCTTACTGCTGTCTTGGGTAAAATAAAACCGGATATCCTCTTCTGCCGATTTTTAACCTTAGGTTTCATTCGTTGTCTGTTCAAAACGTAACCACGCAAGCAAGACAAACATGACATGCTTGATATCCCAAAGTTAAAAACGAATATTTTCGGGATCAATTTTTGGGTTCAAATTAAACAGAGACAAGTAACAACCCTTTGTGCGGTTTGAATTTTTGGTAGAGGTTTCTTTCTAATATGATAACGATCATTATGAAAATACAAGGATAAATAAGGTGACGCCAATTTAATTACAACAGAACAATAGTCTAAAGAAAGAAAAAAAACATGCAAAAATTGGAATCGAGTTAGGATAAGAGCGAGCTCTTATCATGAACAATGTAACACGTAAAAACCACCGATACGTAATAGATCATTGGGCACCAAAAAAAAAATGTAATTACGACCCTTTTTTTCCATATCAAGGGGCAAGTTCTCGGGGGAAAAAAAAACAAAAAAAAATTATCTTGTAAATAATAATGCTCAGCGACAAGATAGAGGTATGATTGAATGATTCATTTTCTACTTTAGCTTGCTTCCGTTGAATATTCTCTGTGCCCTTATCTAAAACCACCCGCCTACAAATTGCTATCTTTGCCGCAAAAATAGATTACATATCATTCAAAGCTTCCGAAAGGGTTATGAGTGTGTTAGTAGTGACTAAAAGCAGACTTCAAAGCCGATGGTCAGTCAAACTTTTAATTCGAGAATACATTTTCGGGATTGGCGTGGAGGTAGAAAGAATAATGATCCGTTAATGGGTTTCAAAGTCAGGTTTTTTTTTTTTTACTTTGAATCGAANTTTTTTTTTTTTTTTTTTTTTTACTTTGAATCGAATGAACAGTGAGTGATGAGGGTTCTCGGAAAAGTATCAATCCTCGAAATTTGTCGTACTTTACTCTGATTGACAAAGACCATTCTTCACAAATTTCAAGCGATGACAATGACTGGATAGCTTAAACAGAGAAGTAAATAATTGCGACCGTCTAAGGGAGATCGAACATGAGTGTCAGAAAACTCAATATTTTTAGACAAAGATATCGGGTACGGTTACAAATCTTGACAGAAGAGCGCCCAAAAATGATTTGAACAAAAATTATTATGATAAGAAATCTGCATTCCAAAAACGTTGTTTCGAAAAGACGACCAACTTCAAGTTTTACAGTTTTTCAAGTTTTACTACACGACCTAAGTGCAAAATTATGGAATTAAAATGCAACCTTACGTCAGGGCCGGATTTACCTACCTACTTGCCGCCCATGTTAAAGGCGCCTGTATTTTGCCGCCCCCTTCTCATTCGTTTTGAGACATCAATAAAAACCATCAAGTGAACGTGCCGGAGGGAGAGGGGGAGGGAGGGGTGCATAAGACGCGTTTACTCCAATGGACACATTTTTTGCAAAAGTCCTGTCAACACTACTAGCAAAAGTTCATGGAACTTGGCGCGATAGTCAAGTTCCGTAAACCTATCTCTGCGTGGACAAGGCCTTCCATTCATAGGAAAAGAACAAAAAAATTATGAAAGAACAAACATAAATAGGATTAAATAATTTTAACTTCCACCGCCGCGCCGCGCTCGCCGTGCCGTGCCGTGCTGTGTTTGGCGCAATGCGTGAAGTATTCATGCAGTCTTGTAGGCGCTATGCGTTTCACGCCGCCCGCTGCTGATCGCAGCGACCGCACTGTGTGTGACGCAATGCGTGAAGTATTCATGCAGCCTTGTAGGCGCTAATACGTGTTACATGCCGACCACCGCGCCGAGGCTTCTCCTTTTCATCTCAAGTCCTCGTCATCATTGCTTTCTGCGCCGCGCCGTTCCAGGGCAAATTGCGTGTTTGGTTTCTCTCAACTTGAATAATTAAAGGTGCTGTCTCTTGTATCACCGAAAGACGGCAAAATTAGAAATTACAATACAATCAGAAAATGAGAGATATTGTCGCCTTTTCTCGTTTGTATTTTTTTCCGTAATCCGATTTATTTTTGTACCTACATTTAAAAAAAATGCAAAATTTGCCACCATGGGCCGCGGCCCATATGGCCACCCCCTAAATCCGGCCTTGCCTTGCGTGCCTTGTTATCACAAAAATTGACAAAACAGCTCGGAACTTAGGTGCAGCGTTTGAGAGAGCATTCTCCGTCGAAAAACTAAAATGGGTTTGTTGCTCACGAAAAATACAGAAACATGGACTTCTTGAAGGTTAAAGCGCACCAAGATCACGATAGAATCGAAAATGCCATCTGAACGGTAAAATGTATTATACAAGCCCTAAAACCTCCCAAAATAGCTTTATTTTTGGTGTAACATAAGGTTTAATTTTAGTAGAGATGATAAAGCCGAGACCAAGCGGAATGAGGCCGTTTTTGTCCAAAATTGTAAAAAATCAGTAATTCAGAAAAATGAGTTTATCTAGACACTTTATTTATTTCCGGTGCGTAGATTCACCTTACGAAACGTAATTCAGACATGTTTGACGTGCTTATCGTGATTTTTGGGTGACTCCATCTTCAAAAAGTATATGTTTGTCTATTGCCGTGCTAAGGAAGAACGCAGCATGAGCCTTTAGGCGTTGCCAAATTTCCTTGGACAAATCACTAATTTTCAAGAAAATTTGCGCATATTTTTCTTCCAGTTTCTCAGACAATTTTGTTCGTAATTTGATCGAAAAAGTCTGAAAATTTCACGGGAAAATATTGATAATTTTCTTCGAAAATAAACATTTTTTCGTAGGAAACTTGACAACTCTCGAATGCTCATCCGGCGTTCTTCCTCAGCACGGCAGTATTTACCTGTACCTGTTGTGAGCAAGAGACCCATTTCGAACCATCGAACTAATCACTTAGTTGACAAAAATTGCTCTTATTGGCGTGCGCTCTTAAGAGTGACTTAATCTGTAGATGCGTAGATTTTAGGAAGAAGAAGGGAAAGGGGGGGGGGCACTTACCGGGGGCTCCCGTTCGGAGGCGGGGGCAGCGGGGGTTTCGGAGGCTGCCGAGGGGGAGCGCGGGGCTTGAACGCCGACCGAGTTGCTGCAGAAAGTCGGGCGCCTCATCACTTCACAACATTTGACGCTTGCCAAACCACACTGCAACATGACAAAACATTCCAGAATTACACTCAGTCTTGTTGGGCACGGATAATGGAAAGGAGAACAATTCGGTTGTGTGAACCGAGGGTCCAGTTACATTAACCGGATAGTGCACGGAGAAAAAAACTTCGTGCATGGGACCCGAAGTTGAGGTCATGTGAATCTCTGAGGTTGATACGAAAACTTGAGGTCGAGCCGCCGAAGTTCGGGTCAGACATCGAGGCACTTCGGTATGCACCGGAGTACTTCAGATATGTGACCCGAACCCTCCGGTATATATCGAAGTACTTCAGATGTCTAACCCGAACTTCGGCAGCTAGACGTCAAGTTTTTAGATACGTGATCCGAAAACTTCAGAGATCCATATGACCTCAACTTCGGGTCTCACTCACGTAGTTTTTTTCTCCGTGTGTTACCGATGTGGAGCATCGCACCACGATTTTTACGACCGAACTTTTCAGCCTTAGGAAAGATGGAGGAAAAATGGATTGCTTTGTGTAAAAAGGAACCAAGAACATTCCAATGCCGCTGAGATTAAGCAACTTTTTTTACCATGCAAATGGATTGCATTTTGCAAAAAGGAACCAGGAGCATTCCGATGTTTCTAAGATTTTTCAACTTTTTTTATCTTGCAAATATAAACTGATGATCTATACAAGCTTAACCTGAAATTTAAATCCTAGGCCCAACCTTATACTTTTTTTAGATTTTTTAGAAGGGGGTGTGACCAACAGTGGATGACGGTTGTATACGATGAGGGAGGGAAGGGGGGGGGTCGAAAAAATGAAAAAAATGGGTGAAGTAATTTTCAGGGTGTTTAGTATTTTTTAATTTTGAAAAATCCTGATATTTTCCTGATTTTTCTTGATATTTCATGAAAAATTACCGATTTTTTCGTTTTGAAAATTCCTGATATTTTCCTGATTTTTCTCGACTCCTGGCACGGTAGGCAAAAAGCAGTAAGACTTTCTCCGCTGAGGAGATTCGCATAAGAAAAATTCCTGATAAAACGTCCGATTTTTCCGATTTTCCTGATATTTTCCTAATTTTTTCCTGATCGGCCAAAATTCCTGATATTTTCCGGTTTTTCCTGATGCTAGACACCCTGTTTATGGACGGACCCATAGAGGTTAGACGATTCCCTAGCCGTAGATCGATGCATCTCCGTCTGGAACTCGGAAAACCAAGCCGCAAACGACAATCTTCCGACAGAAAAGCGCCCGGGTAGCAAGGAGAATGCAATCGCGTGACCAAAGTTTATCCGCTCATCTGGAAAGCGACCATTAAGAAAAAAACTCCGTCTCTCTTGTAAGGGTAGTTTCCCGACCCCCGACCCCTCCCCGTCCCCGACCGAAGCTCGCAGATCCGTGTTTGTTTATTTATTCTGATGGCATGCAAACAGTTGGTCACGCTCACGATTTCCGTCGCGCGACGGGTCCCTCACAACCTCCCATCGTCTCTCCTCCGACGCGAGAGCGTACCTCTCCATCTACATGAGCCCTGGAAAATACGAACTTAAACGGGAAACAGGGCTCACGTAGAAATTAAGATACACCCTTAGGGACGACGACATGCTCCGACATGGAAGGTGACACTCGGCCGTTGCGATTGTGAGTGTTATCTGCATTTAAGCGTGAGCTCTTGATAGTGTACGAAGGCATGGTTTTCGCGGCTCAAGCCGACGTTTTGATACTTCTTTTTCCGTTCCACTTATGTCACACGAAGAAATCTTTACTGCGTTGTCGTCCTCTCTACGATCGATAGGTGGAGTGAACGGTTGTAAGGGCGCGAGAAAAGCTNGGGGGGGGGGGGGGGCGGCGGCTGGGTGACGAATGCAACGGCCGACGTTTCTATTTATTTGCTCAACCCTCGATACACTTATACTCGATTGATGTCGCGCGCGATGCGCCCATTAGTCCGATGAAGTTTTTTGTAGGGTTTGTACGGGAGGACAGTTCCATGGTCAAAGTCGGCAAACGCGTGGTTCGTTTGGCAACGTTGCAGATTTTTTGTCGGGTTTAATTACAGGGTTCACGAAGCCTTTTATGGCTAAATTTTAGGAATTTCCGAGGAGTTTGGATAGGCAAAATTCGAGGAAGACGTTACACTCGACATTTTGAGAAACTCAAAGTAAAAATTGTGACTAATCGTTAGGAATTGTAAACAAAATAGCCGGTGATTAAGAAGTTCACGGACTTTCAAGTGCACTTGGAAGGTAGCTTAAAATGAATCCAACGACTTCAGAATCCGAAAATTATTTATTAATTAGTTCCGAGGAGTTTGGATGGGTAAAATTTAAGGACGACGTTACACTCGACATTTTGAAAAACTTAAAGTAAAAAATATGACTAATCGTTAAAAATTGTAAACAAAATAGCTGGTGATTAAGAAGTTCAAGGACTTTCAAGTGCACTTGAAAGATATCTCAAAACTAATCTAACAACTTCAGAATCCGAAAATTATTTAAAAGTACATATATTCAAAGACTGGGCGTCACGAACCCTGCTTTTTCTGGACACCACTATATCCAATGTCACACGATCGAACCGTGACGCCGATATATCAAGGTCAAGTGCTGTGATTGGTTCAAGTCATCGAATCAGCCAATCACAACATCAGACCTTGGTATATTGATAGCACGGGTTGATCGTGTGGCATTAGCTAATCTGACCACATTGATATTATTTTGATAGTCAAAGTTTCGCGATTCACTTTCAGGCTGAAGACTACACAGAAAAAAGAAAAAAAACTGCGGCCGTGGAAACCGTACTTACGGTCTTTAAAGACATACCGTCCACGTTCCGGGCTCAGAGGCCGAAAGTTTCGGGCGTGATACCCATAGAGCAGTCGAAGCTATGGCTCCAGCACCCGGAACTTTCCGTCTCTGAGCCCAGAACGGACAGTATGTCCATATACCGCGTAAACGTTTTTTGCAGTATATTCTCCACGCAAACTGAAGCTGTCAAAGATGCTCATAAATGCCTTTTCCAGCATTCTCATTGGCCAGTCATGAAAGTCGGTTAAATCGATGAACCTTTTTGAAGCCTCTAGTTTGTACGTGGAGAAGAACCTTATCAGTCTGATGAGGGCTATGGCACTTTCTATTACCCGTAAGAGGAGGACACACAGGGTGTCTACTAAAACAAGCTGGCCAAAAATCAGTACTTTTACAGTACTTTTTCAGTACATTCCCGAGAAATTCAATACCTCCTCAGCGGGAAAATTCAGTACTTTTTCAGTACCTCTAATTGACAAAATTCGAAAAATTTAAAAAATTTGAATTTCTCGCTCAAATTGCGACAAAAATGAAAAAAAAAATCCGGACCTTCTTCCGGAGTTTCCGCGCTTTTTCAGTAGCTCCGGACCGCCCTTAAAAAATCAGTACTATTTCCGGACTTTCCGCAGATTCCGGACTAGCAGACACCCTGACACACTTCCTTGGCAGATTGAATTTTGAAGTTTTTAATGAGACGAGGACAGCTCTTCCCGAAACTTGGCGTGATCGGAATGGGGGGGGGGGTGTCCCAATATCGACGTTATGCGATGCATATGCAACAGGGGAACCTCATCTTATTCAGCGGGAGGATTGCAGGTTCCGCGGACGAATATCGACGCGTCGAACACGGCGCGACACGGCTTTCGAAGCTCCACAATGGACGATTGCGCAATGGAAGCCGTCGCTCTGACCTTGCCGACCCTGCTGTCAACCTTGCATCCCCCTAATCGGAAGCTTTCCCGCACTTCCGGACGGCAGGGGACGGGCGGCGTGGAAAAGTCGCGGCCGCCACTTCTTCATCCCTGTACTCGCTCGGCATACCGATTAACCCCTCGCTTTCGCGGCTTTTGTCCGCCGAGGTCGGGAACAATAGGCCATTTTCAGGGAACACGGCTCCCTAAAACGCTTCCCCGCTCCCGGCACCGGAATGTTGGTTTCGTATTTTCAGATTTAAACGAGATGAGTCCATGCACGCGGAAGGTTTTGGAAAATGACGGGTGTGCAACAGTTTCCCGTAGAGAACATGGGGAGACTACACTGGAAAAAAACCCGCATCGAAGTCCACTCTTAAAAACAACGACAAGAAAGAGTACTCTTAATTCAATCAGAATCTAGCTGACATCAAGAACCAAGCCTCTTAGTCCAGGCAAACAAGGAAAAGAGCCTGCAAAAATCCCGGGTAGCAATGTTTTCATCGATTCCTATGTAATTTTTGACGCTGAATCCGAATTTCAACTTTGCGCCATTAAATTCGGACCGGAAAGTTGCCAAATTTGGCAAAAATGGCCTAAAATCGGCCTTTTTTCCGGATTATGGCCTGTAACTCGCCAAAAATTGATCTGACGATAAAATTAGTTATTTTCAGAAATAAAGCTCGTTAAATTCCCTATAAAAAAGTTCCTATACACTTTTTTGCTCAGGGCAAAATCAAGCGCGCTGGCGGGCTCCGAACTTTAAAAAATGAGCGAAAATTGTGTTGTTCGCGGTTTTTACCCGATGTCTCCTGTTTTAATCGTCCGACGAGTAATTTCTGGACAAATTAAGTGCAGATGATAAAATTTACACTTAGTGAAATGAATTTATGTAAATAATAAGGATAACCCAACACATTACAGTATGCACAATTTTGGCACATTTTACAAAGTTCGGAGCCCGCCAGCGCGCTTGATTTTGCCCTGAGCAAAAAAGTGTATAGGAACTTTTTTATAGGAAATTTAACGAGCTTTATTTCTGAAAATAACTAATTTTATCGTCGGATCAATTTTTGGCGAGTTACAGGCCATAATCCGGAAAAAAGGCCGATTTTAGGCCATTTTTGCCAAATTTGGCAACTTTCCGGTCCGAATTTAATGGCGCAAAGTTGAAATTCGGATTCAGCGTCAAAAATTACATAGGAATCGATGAAAACATTGCTACCCGGGATTTTTGCAGGCTATAGCCCCTTTCATGGCTTATTTGCCTGGACTATCTTGATTTAAGCGGATTTCGTTTTGATTCAAGC